ACGTAGCGCTGCGCGCCACGGATGTCAAACCAACAATGAACCACAATAAAGACTTTTGTTTATAAAGAGCAACTGGCGTTGGTCCTTTGTGAGCTGGGACCTGAGGCAGCCACTGACAACATCGATCAATTAGCTTAAAGGTTTTTTCCTGAGATCGACCCAGTTTCCCTTCCACGGATTCCCCATTTTTATATTAATAACAACACAAAATTGATAAAAAAAAATAAAGAAAAAAAAATAGACAACCTTCGGATTTCCAGATCCCACCCTCCCTTCCCCGGCTTCGATCCCAAAACCATTGTCCATTAAACCATCTGCTTCAGCCTGGCAACCTTACATCTGAGGTCCTTAAGTCTCTTTCAGTCCCTCTCTGCCGGTTTCTTTGAGAGTCCTTTATATTTGGCACCGAAGCTCGGAGGGGCACAATCCCTGTAGTTTCCATGATCCTTCCAGCCAGACCTCCATGTTTAAAGGTGGAGCTCAAATCTTGTTTCTTAATCTTTTTATATCCAAATGTCCCAAAAGTTCCAGCTTCCACCTTGATCAAATTTGTAATCTCCCTCTTCACAGGCCTCCGGCTCACCTTTGCCCTCTGCAACGTTGAAACCCCTCCATCTTGCTCCTTCTGATCAGCATCTTCTTCCACTTCTTCCACTTCCTCAATTGTACCTAAGTTCTTTTCTTGTTCTGCTGCCTGGATTTCCAAGTCATTTTCCAAATCAGTAGGTGCATTTATTGTTGACTCAGAAGTTATGACACTTGTAGACAAAACATGGCCTTGTTCATACATCCTTTGTAACTTTCCCACGAGAAAAGCAAGCTCGTCCAGGTCAGCTAATATTTTCCGGCCGATTTCCATTCTTGTAATGTCCCTGAATCCCCTGTAGAGGGGTTCTGGTTATTTAATATTCCTTTCACTTCAAACCCAAAGGCCAAGTTAAATTGTTTCAGTCCTTGTTTATTTTCATCAACTTGTAACTATATTATATCCAATGTAGCCGGCAAGAAAGTCAAAAACAAAGTTCTCTATTTTCCAACTTTGACAGCTAGTTTGACAGCTGTCAAAGTTCTCTCTGTCTCCTCAGCAGGCTCCTCTCATGGATCACTCCCGGTCTCGGGGGGTGGGGGTGGAACTTAAATCAAAATGTTAACTCTTCTCCTCCAGCACAGTCACTTATGTTGTCAATCCATGCAATTAATGACTTTTATCCAAAATACAGGCTCTCTCTCGATCTTAGTTGTTAAATCCTTGCTTTAAAATGTTTACAATGGGGGGGAGACGGACTTCCTCTTTGCTCCTCCCCCCGTTCGTGCCGAATCCAATAAAAAAAACAATTTTAAATCGAATTTCCCAATTACTCACGGGTTGTTGTTTCCATTTTTAGTCCAAATTTTCAAAGGAAGAAGTCAGCGCTCTCCGCCGAATGGCATGCGGCTGCGCTCGGCAGGGGAAGGAGAGGACTCGCTGCTCCCCGTCCCCAGCTCCGTAGCCTTTAAAAAGGCTCCTTCGCTGGTCGGGGGGCGCTAATGGTGCCCGCCGAGTCGCCAAGTCCACGGACATCCACGCCCGTGGTTTTTAAGGGTCCCCGCGTCGCCGGCGCGGCAGGACCCGACCCCTGTCGAGCAGATTCCCTCCGGAGATCGGAGGAAATCCGTCATTCGGCGATGGTGCCAACCCGGAAGTCCTTTTGCGATCCAGTTTTGGAACCAAAAAAATGTGCAGTGAATTCTACATGTTAGGTGAAGGGATGCCGGTGTTAGTGAAAGTAACATAAAAATGCATTGAACTGAGGGAAATGGCTTGCAAAAATGTGCACCTTGGGCAAAATGGTGTAGAAAAATGTGTATATTAAGAGAAATGTGTATGAAAAAGTTGAAGTTGCAGATTAATTTCCATGAAGGCTTAAAAATTAAAAAAAAAAACCCAGAAACTAATGCAGAAATTGTCAATTCGAATTCAAGACTGGAAAAATGAGAAACTAAAATTGGGAGATCTTACTATCCCCAACAAAGACTCTAGGTCTTTTTTTGCTCAAACTTTCTGCTGCTCAGAGAAGTCCAGAAAACAGCTATTCAGTCCTCTACATTGAAGATGTGCTTCCACATAAAGTACTTCCAGGAGATTAGTCCAAATGACCCAGCATCACCCATTCTGGTTGGCCAAGGACATGGGGCAAAGATGTGCCTTTGCCTTGAATGCACTCATTTGGGATCGTGCTTGTTCTATGACATTGCCAATGAACATAGAAAGAGATCCAAATGAAGCCTACAAGTGCTGCATTCTGTCCAGGCAGCAATTGGATGCTTGCACTCAGTTTAAAGTTTTAGGTGGTGCAGGAAGGAAGACAAAAATGCAGAATATGTTGACAGGAGATGGGAGATTCCTATCTGAAGGCTTGTGAGCACGCTCTGCACTTGGTTCTACATTCGGAGTTCAATCCCTAGTTTGAACTACACGCCTATTTTTCAAAGGGCCAGGTAAAGAGGCTGTACCTCAATACATCCAATGTGCTTGCAGAATGAGACTTTGCAGGCAAGTTTAGGGCTTCATTTGCGGAATACCAACCTGACCCTCAAAAATCTGAAACAAAGCCTCTTGCACTTTACTAATATTTAGGTTAAAAATGACTCTTTGAGCTCTGTACTAAGCTTGGATCCTAGAACAATAGGTAAGTAGGATCCTAGAATACAACAACTGATTGGCTTGCAGGAGAAGACCAATCAGGCTCCAGGAGGAAGTTAATCGGCCTGTTAGGCTGGTAGGATCGTAGAATGAAACAATTGATAGGCCTGCAGGAAAAGACCAATCAGGCTCCAGGAGGGAAGCAGAATCAGCCAATCAGACGGGACTCATTGTGTAAATAATGTATATAAAAGCCTGAGGTTTGGGGGGCAATTCAATCACTGTTTTACAAGCTGCAAGAAAGAGCATGAAATCACTACAGAACTCTGAGTATATTTCACTTTGCTTGATGGACATGTGGCCCACCTGTGGTGGCTCCTGAATGTAAGGTTAAGTGAAGGTGGCATTTTCAGAGAGGGATGAGCTTAACCCTTTCCTTATCCTTGTCACCCACAATCCTTCCATCCCTGCTCTCCATCTCAAGGAAGCCAAGCTCAGACACAGGAAACAAGTTGTTTCCACCTGCAGAAATACTTGCCAACACCCTCCCTGCGCTTCCATAATCCTGGAATATGCTCCATGTGTGTTTCATGCCCAGCATTATTTAAAACACCCCTGGCATGCAGGAACATGTGCCCCAATGGTGTGTTTTTACATAATTCAAATGAGCCACAGGTGCTTGGAGAAGGAACAAGTCAAAGCTATGCAAAACAAGCATTCTGGAGGGAAAGGGAAGCAGAAGTTTGCATGGTACGCTCCTGGCATTTTCAGGCTTGTCACTTTCTGCAGAAGATTGTACACAGAGCTTGCAATCTCCTGCAGCAACCAGATCCCCTTCTGCCACTCTGAAAGCTCAGTGCTGGGCACAGTCAGTCTAATTCGCAGCTTGCCCAAGTAAAGATGTCAACTGGGTGGTAGGGAAAGGACAAGGGAGACCTGCGACAAGAATGCTGCAGCGTGCTCCAACCAGTCACACCCACTTTCAGGATACGCCATTCCACCTCCACCACCCCTGTTTTCCTCCCCCAGCTCCCACTATCAGCATTCTGTACCCACTAAGCATACTCTGACCGCATTGTGTGATTTGGGTTTTTTTGTACTACTGTAGCTTGCAAAGCCAAAGGATACACCTTCCTTGCACATGGATGATAATATTTTGGTCAAATAGAAAAAGGTGGCATTCAAAAAATGAGTTTGCAATAATAATAATAATAATAATAATAATAATAATAATAATAATATTTTTAAATTTATACTCCACCTTCCCCGGCCAGAACCAGGCTCAGGGCGGCTATCACCAGTAAAATTACAATAAAAACATAATAGGGAAAAATACAATTTAAAATATAGGTTAAAATGCAATTTAAAATGCAGCCTCATTTTAAAAGTAGCCCATAGATCAAAACCATAAGGGGAGGGAAAACATAAGGGTCAGAAAGAGTCCAAACCAAAGGCCAGGTGGAACAGCTGTCTTGCAGGCCCTGCAGAAAAATGTCAAGTCCCGCAGGGCCCTGGTCTCTTGTGACAGAGCGTTCCACCAAGTCGGGGCCAGTACTGAAAAGGCCCTGGCCCTAGTTGAGACCAATCTACTCACCTTGCGACTTGGGACCTCCAAAATGTTGTCATTTGTGGACCTTAAGGTCCTTTGCGGGGCATACCAGGAGAGGCGGTCCCGTAGGTACGTGGGTCCTAGGCCGTATAGGGCTTTAAAGGTCAAAACCAGCACCTTAAACCTGACCCTGTACTCCACCGGGAGCCAGTGCAGTTGGTAAAGCACTGGATGAATGTGATCCCGTGGCAAGGACCCTGTAAGGAGCCTTGCCATGGCATTCTGCACCCGCTGGAGTTTCTGGGTCAGCTTCAAGGGCAGCCCCACGTAGAGCGAGTTACAATAATCAAGCCTGGTGGTGACCGTCGCATGGATCACTGTGGCCAGATCAGGGCGAGAAAGGTAAGGAACCAACTGATTAATATGCACGTATGTGTACATAGGAGCCAGCTCTCCAGGCCCCCAATATAATATTTGAAGTACCCGCCCCCCCCAAGTTAATGGCCATTGCCACTCAAATGGTGTGTGTTCAATCACATCATGTGATCGATTAGGCAGGGCGGGGCTTACCTGCCCCCCCATCTTTTATTCAAGTTGGTATTGGTTGGCATCTGTCTGTCTCATGAGACCATGGAGGAGTGTGCCTTTGGGGGTAAAGTCAAACCGTTGGATAAATGGCTGTCAGTGTTACAGTGCGATGTGCAAATTCAGTCCTACAATCCTACTTAAACCTTCATTGCCAAAGCAATCTTCCCATGGCTTTCGCATCTGGCCTGGCAAAACACTGCCTAGCAAGTCTGTCTCTGCAGCACCGCAAGAGCTACTCACCTTGAGGATGGAGGCCTCTTTATTCTCCACCGTCTTTTCATACAGGTGTACTTGTATCTGGAGGAGAGGAATTGAAATTACTGTTTTGCCTTATGCCTTAAAATAATAATAATAGTATTCCCGAAGTTGCTTCAGAGTGCAGAAGATGCTTTAAATCCACTCTGCAGGTTGTGGGCTGCAAAGGGTCTTGAGTGCTCATAAACTCCTGGTCTTCCCAGAGACGTCTTTCTTGGCCAGTTTGGAGCTTCCCAACCCTGCTCTGGGCCCTTGCTTCAGATTCAGATGCTGTGATTCCTGCACTGCAGTGGGGATCCCTATGACCTATGGGATCCCTTCCAACACTACAGTTCTAGGATTCCATTATTTCCTTCCTCGACCAGGTACCAGCCACTCTGAAGGGGAGCCACCAACAAGTGGCTAAAAATGGCGGAGCCAGGTTGTGTGGCGAGTTCCCAACCCCTCCCCCAGCAGAAATAATGACACATGACACAATTATTTAATAATAATAATAATAATAATAATAATAATAATAATAATAATAATAATTTACTATTTATACCCTGCCCATCTGGCTGAGTTTCCCCAGCCACTCTGGGCGGCTCCCAATCAAGTGTTAAAAACAATACAGCATTAAATATTAAAAACTTCCCTAAACAGGGCTGCCTTCAGATGTCTTTTAAAGATAGGATAGCTGCTTATTTCCTTCACATCTGAAGGGAGGGTGTTCCACAGGGTGGGTGCCACTACCGAGAAGGCCCTCTGTCTGGTTCCCTGTAACCTCACTTCTCGCAATGAGGGAACCGCCAGAAGGCCCTCAGTGTCTGGGCTGAACGATGGGGGTGAAGATGCTCTTTCAGGTATACAGGACCGAGGCCGTTTAGGGCTTTAAAGGTCAGCACCAACACTTTGAATTGTGCTCTGAAACGTACTGGGAGCCAATGCAGATCTCTCAGGTATTATGTGGTCCCGGTGGCCACTCCCAGTCACCAATTATTAAGGTTAATGGGCTAAAAAAGGCCACAACTTTATTGGTTACAGGTGATGAGCAGTATTGGCTTAGGAATTGGACCTAACTGACTATATCTGACTCCAGCCCATCTGCTTGAAGTCCAGGAAGGGTTAACACCAGTAGGGGGAGTCCTGCTGATGCACATCAACGAGGAGATCCCCTGGGGTCACTGCTAGGGGGCGTGCCTTGGGCCCTAACCTCCCTAGGCTTCGGATAGGGCCACGCCCCCTGGAATCCTTTAACGGACTACCCTTCCATACACAGGGCAGGTGGTGGCACTACCTCCCCTTTTCCCATCTACAGAACTTTCAAATGCCTAACCGCCAATACCCAGAAAGTCGTGACGATTTGCTACGAGGTAGGCGAAAACCAAGTGGCTGGTGCCAATTTGCCAAGTGGAAAAATTCCTACCAGGCCCCTTAACGGCGACCAACCAAGGTCCATAGCAAGGTCAAAGGAAGCAAACCTTAAAGGGCGGAAGGGTGGGAAAACCGGAGCAGCTGGCAAGCGGACAAAGAGGAAGATCCCCGGCTGCGTCCTGCCGTTAAGGGGCAGGCCACACCCCCGGAGCAACAGGCTGGAGGGTGATGGCCGGCCGGAGGGTGATGCAGCCGGGAATCCCCCAATCATGCTGGCCTCCCGCCCCTTGGGCACGTGGAGAAGCTGTGAAGCCCGCAACCCCACCTCTTCCCTAAGGGGGATTTAGCATCAACAAGGTATAAACTGCCATTGATACTGATGAAGAACTGAGCTGTCTTCTTGCCCTGGATTTTGTCACTAGCTCTGCTGCTCCTCCTGATCTCAGGGCTGGGGAAGGCCTTCAGGGGATGAATTATCTCTTCATCAAGGGCAAGAGAGAGAGAAAGCCACTTCCGACCTCGGGAGGAGGTGGTGTTGCGGGCTCACGCCCCCAACACATGCGCGGTAGCTGGTTTGCAGCCCCGCACGATATGGAGGAATCCTCGGGCCGCATCATCCACTGGCTCGGGGTGTGTGGCTTGCCCCATTTAAGGCAAGCGTGGCCCAGGTTTGCCCTCTTTTGGACACTCAGCTGACTGGTTTTCCTAGCCACCCGCCCTTCAAGGTTTCCTTCTGACCTTGCTATGGACCTCGGTTGGTCGCTGTTAAGGGGCCTGGTAGGAATTTTTTCCACTTGGCAAATTGGCACCGGCCATTTGGTTTTTTGCCTACCTCGTAACAAATTGTTACAACTTCCCTGGTTTTGGCGGTTAGGCATTGGTAGGGGTATTGTTATGTAGACGAGTTGGGGGGGAGGAGCGCCATCACCTCCCCCAAATATTGAAGGGTAGTCCGATAAAGGATTCTGGGGTGTGTGGCCCCGTCCGAAGCCTATGGAGGTCAGGGCCTAAAGCACGCCCCCGAGCGGTGAACCTGGGAGAGTTACCTAGTTGATGTGCATCAGCAGGGCTCCCCCTACTGGTGGTTAACCCTTGCCGGTCTTCATGCCATCAGGCTGAAGCCAGATAGAATGATAGGACCAGTGCCTAAGCCAATACCGCTCTAACCTGTAACCAATAAAGTTGTGGCCAATTTTAGCCCATTAACCTTATTTATGGTGTCCTGTGTCGTTATTTTTATGGGACGCGGGTGGCACTGTGGGTAAAACCTCAGTGCCTAGGACTTGCTGATCATAAGGTCGGTGGTTCGAATCCCCGCGGCGGGGTGAGCTCCCGCCGTTCGGTCCCAGCTCCTGCCCTCCTAGCAGTTCGAAAGCACCCCTAAGTGCAAGTAGATAGATAGGTACCGCTTTATAGCGGGAAGGTAAACGGCATTTCCGTGTGCTGCGCTGGTGCTGGCTCGCCAGCTGCAGCTTTGTCACGCTGGCCACGTGACCCGGAAGTGTCTTCGGATGGCGCCGGCTCGTGGCCTCTTGAGCGAGATGAGCACACAACCCTAGAGTCGGACATGACTGGTCCGTATGGGCAGGGGTACCTTTACCTGTGTCGTTATTTACCACTGGGGGGAGGCGGGAACTCGCCACGCAACCACCACTGACGTCAACAAGAGGTTGTGGCTCTTCCAAACAGTGGAGGGAGACACCCAACTACAGTGGTACCTTGGTTCTCAAATGCCTTGGTTCCCAAACGCCACAAACCCAGAAGTAAGTGTTCCAGTTTTCGAATGTTTTTTCGGAAGCCGAACGTCCGATGCGGCTGTTGGCTATTGTTTCTGGGGTGCCTGCCCCAATCAGAAGCCGAGCCTTGGTTTTCGAACATTTCAGAAGTCAAACAGGTACCACTGTAACTTGTTCCATCAGCACTTGAGCACTGGATCTGTCCCTGCTCTTGTTTCCCCTGTGCACCACCTAAATCTGTTCTAGGGGCTATCCCAATGCTCCAGAGCAGATTTGGGGGTTGGACATGCAGAGGGAGAGAAGAGGGGGAGAAAATTCAACTACAAACATTGTAGTCCTTGCACTGACAGAAGGAGTTAGCTGCATACTGCACAGAATCTGCACAGAAGAGAACTATACAGCACTCTTATAAGAACTGTTAACTTTAAGAACTGGAGCTTGATCCTGCTTTTTCCTCCTCCCTCCTGTTTCTTTTTCCTTGCATGTGATGTCTCATCTTCCATGTCTTTTTAAATTGGGAGCCTGAGGGGACTCAAGTACTGATTTTTGTATGCTGCTTTGAAAGCCTTTTTGGGTGGGCCATAAAGGCCACAAATAAAATATAACCCCCAGGTCAAAAGGAGGAGATTTTAGAAGGAGTTAGAAGGCTCCATCCAGTCCTTTATACTCTACATAGAATGTCCGGATAAAAATTTAAAAATAAAATCAAAAATCTAATGTTCATATACTCAAAATATCTGACATCAGGAGAGTTTTAAAGGGCAAGTTGATTTCAGCTCTAGTTGTGAGAGAAGCCAATGAATTCATTATGGTTTTTAAATGACACTCTACCTTGGAATTTGAGTGCAAAATTGCAAAAACTTGAGGTTTACATTGAGGAATCTGACCTATTTCAGTTTGGCAACTCAGATTTAAAAAGAGTGCTCATTTGCTTACAGGTAAGTTGAGTGACGCGGGTGGCGTTGTGGGTTAAACCACAGAGCCTAGGACTTGCCGATCAGAAGGTCGTGAGCTCCCGTTGCTCGGTCCCTGCTCCTGCCAACCTAGCTGTTTGAAAGCACGTTAAAGTGCAAGGAGATAAATAGGTACCGCTCCAGCAGGAAGGTAAACGGCGTTTCCGTGCGCTGCTCTGGATTGCTAGAAGCAGCTTAGTCATGCTGGCCACATGACCCAGAAGCTCCCTCGGCCAATAAAGCGAGATGAGCGCTGCAACCCCAGAGTCGGTCACGACTGGACCTAATGGTCAGGGGTCCCTTTACCTTTACCTTTAAGTTGAGTGACGATTTAAGCTGAAGCATCTCTTAAAAAACAAATCTTAAAATAAAAACTGTACAGTACCCTATAACACGCATGCACACACATGCTTAATCCTTGAGGAAAAAAGAGTCCCTAGCCCTCCTGCCATCTTGCTTATAGATGGCACAGTGAAATATTTGGCATTTGAAGCCCTCCATCGAACCCTTGCTTCCCCACACTGAAAATAAGTGTTGCAAGCACCTACTTGGAGTTCAGCCATATTTCTTGACAGCTCTGTGATCTTCTTCCGGAGACCATCCGAATCCATAGCATGCCTAATATTCTGGGTTAAAGCAGATACTATTTATTATGCACAGCAAGACTAGCCAGCGAGACATTTCACAGCGTATGAAACTGTCTGCAGACAATTTGAATGCAATTCACACTTGCCTCTTCTTGTAGAGATGAGATCTTGAGAATGAGGGACTGATTCTCCTTTTCCTGGTGTAAAAAGGAAAGGGGGAGGGTGGTTTGAGATACTGCCAACACACACACACCCACCCACACAGTTACTGAGGGCCACTATACATGACTACCATGCAAATATTGAATGTTTTCCCCATCCCACCTGTGGAAAACTCAATTTATGGAAAATTGGGGATGTCTTGGGTTATAATCAACATACATCACCACAAAGCTTTAAGTCACACAGTGACCTATATATAGGGTTGACTGACAACTGTCAATTTCAGTTTCCACATTTGCGTATCAGTTTGCTCCCTTTTTTATAAAGTCCTTATGAAAGCTCATCAGCATTTTAGTGCAATTTGTAATACTGCATACGCATTTTGTCAGACACACACATTTCCCTTAACATAATGCATTTTTGTATGTCGTTTACATTATTATATAGCGATTATATTTTAGTATGCATTACTTGATTGGGGAACCGCACAGCGAAATTTGGAGAAGTGCAAATTTCAAAGGACTTAATGCACTGTTAGGGACGCGGGTGGCGCTGTGGGTTAAACCACAGAGCCTAGGACTTGCCGATCAGAAGGTCAGCGGTTCGAATCCCCGCGTTGGGGTGAGCTCCCGTTGTTCAGTCCCAGCTCCTGCCAACCTAGCAGTTCGAAAGCACATCAAAGTGCAAGTAGATAAATAGGTACTGCTCCAGCGGGAAGGTAAACGTTTCCGTGCGCTGCTCTGGTTCGCCAGAAGCGGCTTAGTCATGCTGGCCACATGACCCGGAAGCTGTACGCCGGCTCCCTTGGCCAAAAAAACGAGATGAGCGCCACAACCCCAGAGTCGGTCATGACTGGACCTAATGGTCAGGGGTCCCTTTACCTTTACCTTAATGCACTGTTAAGCCTCAGTAAATAAACACTGTCTGAAATGGTTCAAGTCCACCTACTAGCTGCTTATTCTGGGCTGCTGTTCTCAGCCTTTTTTCCTCTGCAGTATTCAGGTTATTCTTTGCTTCCTCCAGCTCCTCTTTTAAGGTTTTCACTCGAGCCACAGACTGCTGGAAACTGAAAGAACCAAAATCACCAACCCTGTTCTGATGAGCAACATGCGGTTGTTATAGGGCATTTTAGAAATAATAAATAATAATAATAATAATAATAATAATAATAATAATAGACTGGCAGGATTTTCCTACTCTGAGTGATCGCCTCGAATCTGGCAAGAGGAAATGAAGACATTTGGATTTCTCTGTCCCTGTTGCTTCAACGGCATGGCATCAAAATAAAAATATGTACAAGAATTTGGTCAGGTGGCAGGTTTTAAATTGAACAAGCAAAAAACTAAGGTTCTGGAGAAAAATTTGACAACAATGGAAAAAGAAAGGTTTCAGAAGGAGACAAATTTAAATGTGGTGAAGAAAGTTAAATACCTAGGGATAAATATGACGGCCAAAAACCTGAATCTATTTAAAGACAATTATGACAAATGTTGGTCAGAGATTAAAAAAGATTTAGAAATTTGGTCCAAATTGAAGCTTTCCTTGTTGGGTCGAATTGCTGCTATAAAGATGAATGTATTGCCAAAAATGTTTTTGTTTCAAACTTTGCAGATTGTGGACAGGATGGATTGTTTCAAGGGGTGGCAGAGAGATATTTCTAAGTTTGTCTGGCAGGGCAAAAAGCCCAGAATAAAATTTAAAATATTGACTGATGCTAAAGAAAGAGGGGGGTTTGCCCTGCCAGACATGAAGTTGTACTATGAATCAGCAGCATTTTGCTGGTTAAAAGACTGGCTACTCCTTGAGAACACTGACATCTTGGATTTGGAAGGGTTTAACAATGCATTTGGGTGGCATGCATATCTGTGGTATTACAAGGTCAAAGCTCATAAGGTATTTAAGAACCATGTTGTCAGGAAAGCAGTGTTTAATGTCTGGACAAGATACAAGGATTTATTAGAAAATAAGACCCCAAGGTGGTTGTCACCAATGGAAGCTAAGGCTCAGAAAAGACTCAATATGGAGGCCAAGTGGCCAAAATATTGGGAGATACTAGAAAAAGATGGAGACACATGGAGATTGCAGAGTTTTGAGAAACTAAAAGACAAAGTGCGAGATTGGTTACATTATCGTCAAATTAGAGAGGTTTTTAATATGGACAAGAAAACAGGTTTCCAGGTGGAAAAATCGAAATTAGAAACAGAATTGTTAGAACCTAAAACTAAGGTACTTTCAAGAATGTATAACTTGCTGTTAAAATGGAATACTCAGGATGAAACGGTCAAATCAGCTATGATAAAATGGGCGCAATACATTGGCTATAATATTATGTTTGCTGACTGGGAACGGTTATGGACCACTGGTGTGAAATTTACGGCATGTAATGCCTTAAAAGAAAACATTATGAAAATGATATACAGGTGGTACATGACCCCAGTCAAGCTTGCAAAGATATATCATTTGCCAGATAACAAGTGTTGGAAATGTAAAGAAACTGAGGGAACATTCTTTCACCTTTGGTGGACGTGCCCAAGGGTCAAGGCTTTCTGGGAAATGATCTATAATGAACTGAAAAAGGTATTTAAATATACCTTCCCTAAGAAACCAGAGGCCTTCCTTTTGGGCATTGTTGGCCAAATGGTGCCAAAGAAGGACAGAACCTTTTTTATGTACGCGACAACAGCAGCAAGAATACTCATCGCAAAACATTGGAAGACACAAGATTTGCCCACCCTGGAAGAATGGCAGATGCAAGTGATAGACTACATGGAACTGGCAGAAATGACTGGCAGAATCCGAGACCTGGGAGAAGAGACAGTGGAAGAGGATTGGAAGAAATTTAAAGACTATTTACAAAGATATTGCAAAATGACTGAATGTTAAAATGATGCAGGAGATAAAGATAACATGGCATTAGTGATAAAGCTGAAAGGAATATGCAAAAGTACTGTATAAGAAATAAGGGTGAAAAAAGCTAGAATAACATTATGTCAGAACTAAGCGAAATGATATGAAGGGAAGAACTGGTGACATAATAGTTGAAATGTATAATATATAATAAGATTCAAAAGAGGGCAAGATATTGCTGAATATGATTTTGTAAAAGAGAACACAGAAAAGGGAGATGTGAGGAAGTCAGGAAAGAGGGTTATGAAGGTAACAAGCTAGAAACAGGATTTTTATGTTTTTCTTTTCTTTTCTTATGTATTTCTATGTATTTTCTTTTGTATTTTCTATGTCTGTGAAATCTGTTTAATTGTTCAAAAATTTCAATAAATATCTTTTTTTTAAAAAAACAAAATAAAAATATGTACAGCAGCCATTAGCAGAAAGGGTTGCAGCTCAGTGATGAGCACCCATTTTCCATGCAGAAGGTCCCTGGTTCAGTCCCTGGCATCTCCGGGTACAACTGGGAGAGACTCCTGCCCCAAACCCTGGAGAACTTCTGCCAAGCAGCACAGCCCATATGGAACTTGGTGGACCAATGGTCTGACGCTGTATAACGCAGCTTCCCATGTTGTTAAATCAGTGCTGGCTCCAGGGTTTGGAATAAGGTTACCAGACTTTTTTCAATGAATCCAGGGACACAATCAATCAATCAATCAATCAATCAATTAATCAATCAATATTTTTTTTAAAAAAAAAGAGGGGAAAAGTTATTTTTTAAAAAAGAAGTAATATCTTCTCTTATGTGGTCTCCTCTGTTGTGCGGCCTTCCTCTGGGTCCCAGCCTTTCTTGGAGTGCTAGCTATGCTTCCTCCCTCCCTCCCTCCCTCTCCCTCCTTGCACTGCGATCCCCTACAGGCTTACTCAGGAGTAAGCGTTAGCAGAAACTCCCTCCTCCTGCTGCTGCCCTGCCTGCCTGTCTGCCCATTTCCTGTGCAGGCATTGTCCGGCAGCTGCCCATCCACGCCATGGCGTGCCCAGTCAGCGGGTCTGGGGCAGAGCCGGTGGCAAGCGAGCAGGAGGAGATGCGCTTGGGCCGGATCAGCTCATCTCCTGCTCGCCCCTCATCTGCGATGGCCAACGAGATGGCCATTGGGGAAGGTGACCATACCACTCCTCTCCACCCAACTGCTCCAAGTTTTCCCAACCATTGGAGAAGATTTAGGGGTGGGGGAAGTTCCGCTCATGCATTGGTTTAGTTGGACTCAACCCAAAGTGTCCCACCTTTTTATCTGATTATTCAGCTCCACATTGTCCTCCACTAATCTGTTGTTGGTCTCCTCCATGGCGTCCAGCGCTGCCTTCAACTGGTTGTTCTCCTCTTGAAGTTTCTGATTGCTGAACTGAAGATCTGCTACACAAGTGATCAAGTCAGAGGTTTCCCTGGATGCACAAGGAACAAAAGGCTCTGATCAGCTGCCATGCCTGCATTCTCCACGTTTTGACGGGAGGGTTCCAGCTTCAAAGATCAAAACCCGTCTCCCATTTCTTTTGCATCTTTCCAGCTGAACTGCCATCCCCAGCACCAGCTGTGGGTAGCCAGCTGCCCTCTGGGCCTGAGCACCCAATCAGAAGTGGCTTTGCACCATGCTGAAGTCCCCATTTCCTCATCCTTCCCAGTCAGTAGCAGGGACAGCGCTATTAGGAGGCTGCTTTCCACTCTGTTAACTTATGTTCCTCCAAAATCCTTTGATATCTTCGAAATCCCCCATCATTAAAGCTTCCCTTTCCACCAACCCATGCTTGTCCCTCAGCTGCAAATGCCAGCAAACTGCAGATTGGGTACCTGCCCTACTAATGCAAATAACGTTTTAAGAAGGGGGAGGCAATGCAGTGGTAGCCATGAGTAGTTCATCACCAATGCCCTATGATGGCATCACTTCCTAGCCCAGAAGACGACTAAATTATTCATGTGGTGTATGACAAAGGTCTCATGGGCTACACCAGAGACCGCTCCAAAAGGCTGATAAAACTTAGAGGATTTTGTCTGATAGTCGTATTTGAAAAGAGAGGGGGACTCTGTGACCACAAAGGGACTTAGCATCGCACTCTCATATTACAAAGTGGCCTAGCATAGAACTCTTTTGGGAAATGTGTTTTTAAGTGACAATTTAGCAAGTATAATGGTTTAATCTCTGTATGCATATTGCTGAATGGTTTAACATTGGAAAATTTCATTGCAGCATACTGAAACTCTCTGATTAACTTGATTTTCTCTGCTCCTACACATGAGTGTTTAACCTTAGATCACATGATCAAGGTATTCAATTGCAAATCTCCATCTTGAAGGGAGTTGTCTGTTTAGTCTTCTCTCTGGGAGCCACAGAGAACAAAAGAATGTGATAATGATGCCTCTCAAGGAGTGCATAAGCTTAGCCTGGATGCAGGCTAATATAGGCTATGGGAGAGACATAGCTTTGATTTTTGCTCTGATGGTATGTATGTTATGTATTTAAGAAGAACCACCTATGCTTGAATATGCATATGCTTTATACAATTTTCTGGATGTATCACTGTCTGTTTTGTACCTGTTCTGAAGAAGTTCTGGTTAGCAAAGCTTTGATTCATATTTATGGGTCTGGACTTTTCTTTATTCCAAAAGGATTCAGTTTTTTATGCATCCAATTCCTTCAAATAGCGCAATATTGATATCTGAAATAGCTTGTAAAAATATTTTTAAAGCGACTCACAAGTCTCCTCTGGAGACATCGCCACCAAGTGCCTCTAGGCTTCCGGAAGTTACATTCAGCCTCACAAGAGGACTTTTGGCTGAAAAAAGAGGTTTCCTGTTACTGCTCAAGAGACAGACATTGGTAGAGAGCATTTTGGGTTTTTCTCACTTTCTGTTGACATCTCCACATGACACATCATCCTCCCCCCACCCTTTCTGACCTTCCCCACATCTCTTGCAGTTCCTCCAATAATATCCCAGGCTATACTTTCCAAGCACTTTAAACCCACAGTGAGCATTTTCTTCCCCTCACTTCCCCTCCCATGGTTGGAGAAGATTCCTTCATCTATCCCCCTCAAGCACATTTGTCTTTGCATCCCCTTCACTAATCCTCTGCATGCACTGGCCATTACACTTGCCAGAAGTTCGGCTCTGCCCTCACTGGTCTTGGAAGGATCCTTTAAAAAAGTCCCATATGACCAGAGAATTTGCGCCTGTCCATTGGGGGATATAGGAAGCCCTGAACACATATTTTTTAGATGTCCCTTTTATGATGAGGCACGTAGAGAAACCATTGACCCTCTGCTGGTGAGGCTTACTGACCTCCCAGTAAAGCAAAAATTCGATCTTCTCCTGTTAGGCAAAGACCACAAGACGACCCGGATTGTCGCCAGATTCTGTGCACAGATCTGTAGGTGCAGACCACCCCCCGATTCAATCTAGTTTGTTAAGAAAATTTCCAAACCCGGATCCAGGGGAGACTTTGGGTCATTTCTCTAAGGTAGTCTATTTTAAAGTTTTTATGTGTTTATATGCCTATCACATTTTCAAACTTTAAAATCTATTGTTGTATATTGTTTTAAATGTTCATTTTGCTATTGGGATTGTAGTTCCTTTTGTGTTTCTTAAGCTGGACTCTGACCGTAATAAATTTCATGTTCATATTCACTGGCTATTTACAAACCCCTTTCAGCTGCAGGACAGCACTCACAAGTCTTAAACTGTATGCCGCATCTAGTACACTTTACAGTAAATTAAGTCTTCCATAATACAGAGAGAGTCTGATACCTGCTAGCATGCTTTCTCTGGTTGTCTCTCTAGCAGATGGTTCTTTCCTGGAATGAAACCCCCCCCCCACACACATATTTATTTCCTGTTTTAACATGAGTTCAGAGTTTTAACAAAAATCAGTTTTCATCAGGAGCAAGAGAAAACTATGCACTTTTTTTTGCAGTTTTATTTCAGTGTCGGAAAACATTTCCCCTTCTGTCCCCCCCTCAAATGCTTGCAAAAAACAGTCTTAGCTATGCAGCATCATATGTGATAATACATGAGCCCTGATTGGGTGGGAACATTAATGACAAACAGGTTACAAAAAAGGAACAAACTAATCACAAAGTGCTTCTTTTTTGAGGGGCTGGGAGGCTTCATTCTTCCTTAAACTATTAGTTTAATTATAAAAGCTGGAAGCAGAGGATACTTGGAGCAGCTCTGCATTTCACTACACAAAAGAGGTCTCTAGCTTACGGCGACAGCAGCTCTGGATAAATTCTCGCATAAGCACATGCCGGGAATAAGTCCCCACTCAGTGTTACATTTTGCCTAATTGTAATGATGTAGCAGCTTCCCACTCCAGTAATCCAAAATTGGGGCCCAAATCACAAGATTGCGGACAGCAACTTAGTACTGAACACTGCAACTAGCAAACAGCTTCCTTCCCCTACTCGTAAGTTTTCTGTTCTTGTATTTGTGCTCTTTTCCCTGGAAAAGACCCTGATGTTGGGAAAGATGGAGGGCACAAGGAGAAGGGGATGACAGAGGACAAGATGGTTGGACAGGGTTCTCAAAGCTACCAGCATGAGTTTGACCAAACTGCGGGAGGCAGTGGAAGACAGGAGTGCCTGGCGTGCTCTGGTCCATGGGGGTCACAAAGAGTCGGACACGGCTAAACAACTAAACAACAACAATTTGTGCTCTCTCTCACACACATCACATTAAAGGGGAGAATCTTTGGGGTACAGAACATGAAGGAAACCTAGCAAAATTTAGCGCAGTGGTTCTTAAGCTTCTCCCTCTGAGCCACACTTTCAGAGTGAAAATTTGTTTGTGCCCCACCAATTTTGTTTATTGATAAGAAATACATGGGGGGGGGCAAGAAAGACACCAACTTCTAGCAGTGCTTGATTTATAACACAGAACAAAACTACTTTATAATATGATCATGGGACATCCAGAAAGTATAAAAAGATAAAGGTAAAGGACCCCTGGACGGTTAAGTCCAGTCAAAGGCGACTATGGGGTTGCGGCGCTCATCTCGCTTTCAGGCTGAGGGAGCCGGCGTTTGCCCACAGACAGCTTTCCGGGTCATGTGGCCAGAATGACTAAACTGCTACTGGTGCATGGAGGACCGTGACGCGTGTCAAACCACATGGAAACACCATTTACCTTCCCGCCACAGCAGTACCTATTTATCTACTTGCACTGGCGTGCTTTCGAACTGCTAGGTTGGCAGGAGCTGGGACAGAACAACAGGAGCTCACCCCATTGTGGGGAATTGAACCGCCAACCTTCCGATCAGCAAGCTCAAGAGGCTCAGTGGTTTAGACCACAGTGCTACCCGCATCTGTGCCAGAAAGTATAATGCTATGCAGCCACATAATAACAGGAATCATTCCCCAAATATAACTATGAAAAATGAGAGCATACCCATATCGAACCATATATTGAACCAAATATTGAAAAAGTGCATTTACTTCCCCCAAAGAGTGCTGCATGTTATTAATGGTTCTGGGAATTGTAGCTCTGAGTCATAGACCATGGGTACTTTGGGCAAAGTCACGTGCATTAAATGCATGCAACCCAAGAAGACTTGCAAGACCCGTCAGTTACCAGCTTCTCCTGCAGTCGTCAATCCATTCCTTCATGATGGCATGATACGTTTCCAAGTCCATGGAGATGTCCCTTTGATCAGGATCAAGCATGTTGCACAGCTCCTCCAGACTGCTGTCCTCAGAACTCCGGCTAGTTGTGTATCTCACAAAGTCAACTAATTTGGAAACAGCCACTTTGCCTAAAGACAACAGCAACAATGAACACTAAGAGCTTGCCCACACCTCCCTTTTCTCAGCTGCTCCCCCCTGGAAAAACTCGCTCTTTACCGCTGACTCAGAACAAATGGCAACCGGGTTTCCCACGGATTGCTGTTCGTTCCGATTAGGGGTAAAGAGCAAGTGGGAATGTTCTGAGACTCATGCTTTCTAGGTACGGGACAAGCAGAAGTGTGGGCTGTTAAGTATAATTGATTTAATTCACAAAGAAATGAACAAAGTATGTGCATTAATGAAGATTTAAAATAGAAAATGGCTAAATGCATATTGCTAACATTGGAGTTTTTCCACGGGACTCTAAGCTCCTAAATGGGTTAATGATTACCTTTCTGTTCCTCTAAACTGTTGTAACCTTAGATCATGTGATGAAGGCACTGAGCTGCAAATCTCCATTTTGAAGGGAGTTGCCTTTGTGCCTTTTGTCTCAAGGCACTGTGAAGTAAGGACATGTAAGAGACTCCCTGATAGAGAGAGAAAACAGTTCCAAGCTAAAATGGATGCTGTGGGAAGAGACAGACCTCTGGTTCTAGATCTGTTATAATTATTTCCTATTTTACCGAGCTGGTGCCAGACAGCACAAGACATTATATGGATGTTTGGGATGTATATTTGATGTTTTAATTTTGTTTCGAAAGTTCTGCCAGCAAATGTTCAAATAATGTTTTTAAGAGCCTAGACAATGCTTCGTTTCCAAAAGGAGTCAGTTCTTATACTTCCAGTCACTTCAAACTGTGCAATATTAATACCTGCAACAAGGATGACCCCACAGTCAAAGCACCAGGGGTTTGCAGGTCTTGTTTCATAAGCAGAAATATTTCCAGGTCAACATACCTTCATCTAGGTCGACATCTACCGGGGAGAAGTGGGCCTCCCCAGGAGACATGGTCAGTTACCAGTGGGGGCTGAAATTCCTGGCTGGCCCCATGAAAAAAATGGCACTGCCCTAATATGGATTTGTATATAACAGCATTATCCAAAAAAATGCCACACAGGTCCCCAGTGACCACATTCCAAGCACACTGAACCCCTGGAGCACTTAAGGCTCAGAGAAATTGGGCATGCTCAACACTATTTTATGGAGCAAATTAACAAATAAACAAATACACCTGTAAGCTTCCAACAGTTGCAAGAGAAGGTTTTCGGTGCTGGTGTTGCTTTACCTCTCCTTTCTATGTCGCAAGCAGAGAACATAGTAGTCAAAAGGTCTTCCTCACAGATCAGGCTTACTTCAGCGCTTTCGTCATCTTTGTTCTCTGCTGACAGTCTCCACCCTACAAAGGGAAAGGGCACTGACAGGAGATTTGTTTTCCATGCAGAATTAGGAGTCTCAATTACCAGGGAGCCTGCAGCAGGGCTACAAGTTCTGTACACAGTTTGTTCTAGACCCGAAATAAAAGCTGCGTCAAAAATCCAACAAGAGTTTTAGATTCATTGAATTGCATTTGAAGGCAATGTTGCTTTTTTTTTAAAGTTCAGCTCTTAGGGATACTTTAAAAAAGCACTAGATGTTTAAATACTAGCTACTCTCTTACATAAGACCATAAGATGAACTCTGCTGGATCAATAAACAATAATTTTATTATTTATATGTCACCCATCTGACTAACTGCGCCAAGCCACCTGGGGTGGCTCCCAACAGAATATTAAAAACACAATAAAACACCAAACATTACAAAACTTCCCTATATAGGGCTGCCTTCAGATGTCTTCTAAAATTCAGATAGTTGTTTATTTCCTTGACATCTGATGGGAGGGCGTTCCACAGGGCGGGTGCCACTACCAAGATGCCCTCTGCCTGGTTCCCTGTAAGCTCACTTCTCTCAATGAGGGAACTGCCAGAAGGCCCTTGGAGCTGGACCTCAGTGTCCGGGCTGAATGTTGGGGATGGAGACACTCAGTGCTATTTTTCTAGAAAAGGAGGTGCCAGAACTCACCATAAACACCTCCCTTGTTCTCTTATAATGGCAATGGCACACACCTGAGAGGTGCCAGAACTGATTATACAGGGCTGAGGCCTTTTAGGGCTTTAAAGGCTAGCACCAACACTTTGAATTATGCCTGGAAACGTACTGGAACCAATGTAGTTCCTTTAGGACCAGTGTTCTATGGTCCCAGTGGCCACTCTCCGTCATTAGTTTAGCTGCCACATTCTGGATTAGTTGTAGTTTCTGAGTCACCTTCTAAGGTAGCCTCATGTAGAGCGCACTGCAGTAACCAGAACATGTACCACTCTGGTGAAACAGCTAAAGGACCCCTGGGCAGCTAAGCCCAGTGAAAGGCAACTATGAGATGCGGTGCTCATCTCACTTTCAGGTTGAGGGAGCCAGCATTTGTCCACAGTCAGTTTTCTGGGTCATGTGGCTAAACTGCTTCTGGCGCAACGGAACACCATGACGGAAACCAGAGCGCATGGAAACACCGTTTATCTTCCTGCTGCAGTGGTACCTATTTATCTACTTGCACTGGCATGCTTTCGAACTGCTAGGTTGGCAGGAGCTGGGACAGAGCAATGGGAGCTCACCCCATCGTGGGTATTTGAACCGCCAATCTTCTGATCAGCAAGTCCAAGAGGCTCAGTGGTTTAGACCACAGTGCCACCCGCATCCCTTCTTGCGAGACAACGCACAGGCAGATAGGGACTCAGCCGGCTTACCAGTTGGAGCTGGTAAACAGCTGCCCTGGACACAGAATTAACCTGAACCCCCATGGACAGCTGCGAGTCCAAAATGGCTCCCAGGCTGCGCACCTAACTCACGACCCCTAGCAACTAAGATTCAGAAGCATTTACATTTTTGCCATTCTTTCTGCAAGTTTGCATTTTATGCCAAAGTCTTTGACAGTAGCAAGCATCCCTCAACTTATTTAGAAAGAACCAGGCCTTTTGCCCTTTCCTTACCCAAAGAGAGTCTCTTACTGACAGGAGAGTTAAATTCCCGGTTAGACAAATTCGGGCTTGAGGTGATGTAGCCACATTCCTGAGAAGGTGCAGCCTTCTGCTCTGCACTGGGGGAACTAGGCAGCTGACTGGCGGAAGATTCCCTGTGTTTGGAAAAGCATGGAGAACCTCCTCCTTGGCTTAGATAGAGCCATGACTTGTTGGCTCTCTCTCTGTTTCTACTACCTGAAACAGACTCTGAGCGGATGTCCGAGAGGCGCCGGTGACTCGGTGACGCCGCTTGCCGACTCGGGGAGAAGACATTATCGCTGAAGGGGCTCAGCAGGTTGTCGTAGCCTTGTGCATTGCTGTCACTTGCTTTCAGGGTCCTTTTCTTCAAGATCTCCTCCAAGTTTTTCTTCACGTTGCCCTGTGGGCTGTCAAAGTTCTTGGACTGGAATTTTGGGATCTGCAGGGCAGGATTGGAGGCCTGGTCCTTCATGTTGATGTTCTGGAGCTTCCGGCAAAGGCTGTCTACCGGGTGATGGTGGCGCTTGTCGCGACTGCTTCCGGAGGACATTTCTCCCCTTCTTTTCAGCTGTTTCTTTAACAAAAGGGAACTGCAAAACAACGGATTTCATCTTCCAATGCAAATTATTGCTCTGATATTAGAGTCAAGTACAGCGGTACCTTGGATTACGGACGCTTCAGCTTACAGACGCTTCAGGTTACAGACTCCGCTAACCCAGAAATAGTACCTCAGGTTAACAACTTTGCTTCAGGATGAGAACAGAAATTGTGCTCTGGCAGTGCGGTGGCAGCTGGAGGCCCCATTAGCTAAAGTGGTACCTCAGGTTAAGAACAGTTTCAGGTTAAGAACAGAGCTCCGGAACGAATTAAGTTCTTAACCCGAGGTACCACTGTAGACCCACATAAATTATTTCAAAAAAGAGGGCCCCTTCAAACATTTTTTTTTGGGGGGGGCAGTGTGTATACATTCTGCAACATGTCATTCACACAATAGGAGTTCATTGGCTGTGGGTTTATAACAAGCTGTCCACACGCCATTTTGTTAATTGTTCTGTGATTCTTCTCCAATGTTACCACATTATTGCTGCCTGGAGCAGCACTCTCGCACTACAGTGGTACCTCTGGATGCGAAAGGGATCCGTTCCAGAGCCCTGTTCATATCCTGAAGCGAACACAACCGGCGCGTGTGGGTCGCAATTCGCCGCTTCCACGCATGCGCGTGACACCATTTTGAGCATCTGCGCATGCACGAGCGGCGAAACCCAAAAGTAACGCGCTCCGTTACTTCTGGGTTGCCACGGAGCGCAACCCAAAAAGGCTTAACCTGAAGCGACTTCAACCTGAGGTACAACTGTATAGCACAACCAAAAACAGGACAATTCCCTCCCACCCCAGAACGTTTGTGGTATAAAAAGTTACAGGATTTCTGCAGGAAGCTACAGGACATACAGCTGGAAGCTTTTCTAGGTACAAACAGCATCGAAAGAGGAATCAATCTCATTGACTGAACACTGGTTTAATTTATTGTTGTTATTTATTTCATCCATTAATTGCTTCCTACCTTGGAGAGCCACTGCCAATCAGAGTTGCCAGTATGGGGGCAAATGGACAAGGAGTCTGTTCTGACCAAAGCCAGTGTTCCTCTCAGTCTCCTTACATTTACATTTCCTACATACATCAGAAAGAAGCAGTCTTCATCCTACTAGACCAGGGTTTCCCAAACTTGGGTCTCTAGCTGTTTTTTGGACTACGACTCCCATCATCCCTAGCCAGCAGTGGTCAGGGATGATGGGAATTGTAGTCCAAAAAAACAGGTGAAGACCCAAGTTTGGGAGACCCTGCACTAGACAGCGATTTTACTGCCAGAGATGGAATATAAGTTTCAATAATATATTATTAATTTGTTTTTAAACATATCATTTTTATATAAAGAAAATCGTTTTAGAAAGGCCTTTCATTTACACTGGAAACCAATAGTCAAAAATCTCTATTTACTTAAAAATCAAGGCATCCAAAGTATTTGTAGCAAAACCTACTCTGCCTCTTTCTCCTTTAAGAAATTATTTACACCCTGCTTTCCCTGAGAAAGAACTCAACGTAGTGCAAGCAGCGCTTCACCCCCTCTTTTAATTCTCACAACAACCCTGTGAGGAAGGTCAGCCCCCCAAGGTCATCAACAAGCTTCATGGCTGAACCTAAAATCTCTCCCATCCTAGTCTTACATTTATTCTCAATAAGTAACTACAAGAGATAAGAACAGCTTTCTCAACTAACACACAGCAATAAATATTTTAACAAGGAATCTTCCAAAGACAAAGCAAACTAGAGAGGGTGATTTATCAGACCCAAAAAAATCACAGTCTCTCCTGGCTAAATTAGGGCAGTCAGAATATATATTCTTTAAAAAAGGGGGTGTAATTCAGAGAACATGCGTGCAACAATGTTAAGATACTTTAAAAGGAATGAAACTAAATCTCAAATAAGTTTGGCGGCCCAACCAAGGTAACTTCCTTATGCCATAATCCAGACCAGAAAAAGAAATAACACAAACCTTTCAGTGCACAACAGGAAAGATTACGTATGGGAGAGAGCTTTGGTTCTCTTTAACTTCATACCTAAAACAGCACAGGAGGGAGACTTCCTCACCCCTTGTCAAACTTTCTCCTTTAAATTAAGTAAAACAAATAAAACAAAGTTCAGGAGAGAAAGAAAGCACTTTTAAGTTTCTCTCAGCCGAAAGGTGGCAGGACCTATTCTCTTTTGGTTTTTTCCTGGCAGTGAACTCCGGGAGAGGGGCCTCAACTAAAGTCACGGCAGCCCCAGCTGTGAAAAATCACCTGACCAGAAACACCTGCAATGTATTGGGTGTTTTAATAAGCAACCGTTGCCAGCTATTATTATCCTCTGCCCATGAATCTTTTCCCTTCCTCCTCTCTGCATTGGTTTGTTATCCTCCGAGTGCCTTCTGTGGCATTCCTAACGAGAGAGATTATCATTTAATGCGAGATCCGGGCAGTTCCCAGAGCCTGCAAATTTGTCTTAGATCACCCTGGAGAACCAAGTTGTGCCAAGTTGTCTGCAAACCCAGAATCATCAGAGCATTGTTTTAGCCTTACTCAAACAGCAGCGAGCCATGCTTCAAGTGCATAACCCAGCAAACCCCTTCTTAGTGCTATGCTGTGAATATCTGCAGGCCGGAATTCAACAGGTAAGTTGAAAAGCTATATCTGTTGCCTTTCTGCCTGTCAGCTCAAATAACCGTTGAAGACATTGGGGCAGGGGGAAAGGAGATGCAGTATATTTATTCCCTGCTATTGTCCTCTGATAGGATCGATGCCCTTATCACAAAGGGAGAACGTGTACTTGCAGGGGCTCCTTAACGAAAATATGTGTATATTTAATACTGAAACTAGCTTTTGGAAGGGACCCTGCTGTTTCAGTTATCTGCCACCTAGCCAACTGGGGTGGATTATGCTGACAGATTTCTTCCTGTACTTTGAACAGCTGTGTGGCAGGTTGAAATTCAGCAGGAGAAGCTTTTGTCTTTCCTGCAGGGGGGTAGGCTTCACCTGTTGAATTTTATGCCTGTAGAGAGGTTTGCCAAAAGCACAGGGGCTGTTATGTACTGAAGTTCTCGCCCTGGGCCAGCAGGGGGATACTGTAGATAGTTTTCACTCAGGTCCACATATGCAAATAAGGAATTGAAAGTGACGTTCAGTGATTGGATAGTTACAGAAAGTTGTTACTGTTATTTTGTAGTTGAGCTCTATATAAGGAGATTGGCTGAACCCTTCAGCCCGGTTCTGTTCTGGGCCTGTGAATAAACAAGAGCTGTTTGAAGAATCGCTGTGTCGTCTGATATGTTCACCCACAACTTAATGGGGGCCTTGCCAGATGGATGGAGGCAACTTTATTCATTTTTCAGGGGCAGCAGTGCGCCTGATTACATTTTCCTTGGGACGCTTTGAGAATTGGGTTCCATCCATCAAGGTCTGTCTGATTGCCATAAATGTGATCGGAAAGGATTGAGAGGGGTCTGGGGAGAAACGACTCTGCTGTACAAAGGTAAAATTTACATTCATTGCCCCTCCCACTTTTGCTTCTGGCCCTGCTCATCCCTCGCATGCGGCCCCCAGAAGATTGTGCTGAAGGTAATGAAGCACTGGATTAAAAGACAGTCGTACCTTGGTTCTCAAATGCCTTGGTACTCAAACAACTTGGAACGTAAACACTGTAAACCTGGAAGTAAGTGTTCCGGTTTGCGAACTTCCTTCAGAAGCCGAACATGCTCCATTTTGAGCGTTACGCTTCCAGTTTGAGTGTTATGCTAAGGTCTGTCTGTTTTTGCTATTTATTTTGTGTTTTTGTTTTTGCAGCTCTTTTTGTTTTGTTTTTGTGACTGTGTGGAACCCAGTTCAGCTGCTGATTGATTGATTGATTGTGTGGCTGCAGTACATTGTTCATTGCTTTCCTTTTATGGATCAATGGTCTCGTTAGATAGTAAAATTCATGTTCAATTGCTGTTTTAGGGGTTGTTTTTAAAAGTCTGGAACAGATTAATCCGTTTTGCATTGCTTTCTATGGGAAAGCGCACCTTGGTTTTGGAACGCTTTGGTTTTGGAACGGACTGCCGGAACAGATTAAGTTTGAGAACCAAGGTACCACTGTAGAAGACGGACGAGGAAGCTGTGGCTCTCTAGACAGACTCCCCTTCACTGCAATGCAGCACTGCCTGTGAAAGCGCCTGGCGCAAAAAATATTGCGGTCTTTTGGATGCCATGGGCTCTTTCTGTAATGTTGAAGTTGTGTGGTGCTTTCTGAAAACAAAGGTCTGCCTATTGATGGAATAGAAGGGTCTGCAGAACTCACCTTAGCTTGGGTTCACCATTTTGTTTCCAAGCACCTGTGACAGCTCACTCTGTCGCATGGCTCATTTCTTGACTGGCTCGTAAAATGAGGCCACATGATGCCAGTGCCATTTAACGGAGCGGTTCAGCGCTGAGGCCTCATCCATGTCCCCTTGAGGCTGCTGTGCCCTCGATGGTGGGGACAACTCTTTGCTCTGCCAGGTTCACTGAGGCAGGAGAGAAGGTCAGATAACGCTCTCGCCTCAAGGGAATCTGCCATTGCAGGAATGAAGTCAAAGGGGGGGGGGGGGAGGAGAGGGAAACATGCCTCTGTTTGTGTGTTCCAGGGGACACATGAAACTCCTTCATCTAGGGCAAATGTGGGGAACTTTTGGTCTGCCCGACGTTGCTGGACTACAAGCCCCATCTGCCCCAGCCAGCATGCCCAATGGTCAGGGATGATGGGAGTTGTAGTTCAGTAACTCCTGGCGGGTCAAATGTTCCCCACACCTGATTTGGGATCTCCTCACCCCACTACAATGCCCAGCCGGGGCGGAAGAAGGGGTGTGTGGGCTGCCCCGGGTGTCACCACTGAGGGGGGTGACAAAATGCCGGACGACACTCACTGCGGGGCCTGCAATGCGCCCAAGCCACGCATCTCTCCTGGGCGTGCCGCCCCAGGTGCCCGATTGGCTTCCTCTGCCACTGTGCCCAGCACTAGGCATTATGGCTAATACAAGCCTGGTAGATGAAGGGAACGCAGTGGATGTAGCCTACCTTGATTTCAGCAAGGCATTTGACAAGGTGCCCCATGATATTCTTGTAAAGAAGCTGGTAAAATGCGGTCTTGACTATGCTACCACTCAGTGGATTTGTAACTGGCTGACTGACCGAACCCAAAGGGTGCTCATCAATGGTTCCTCTTCATCCTGGAGAAGAGTGACTAGTGGGGTGCCACAGGGTTCTGTCTTGGGCCCGGTCTTATTCAACATCTTTATCAACGACTTGGATGATGGACTCAAGGGCATCCTGATCAAATTTGCAGATGACACCAAACTGGGAGGGGTGGCTAACACCCCAGAGGACAGGATCACACTTCAAAACGACCTTGACAGATTAGAGAACTGGGCCAAAACAAACAAGATGAACTTTAACAGGGAGAAATGTAAAGTATTGCACTTGGGCAAAAAAAAGGAGAGGCACAAATACAAGATGGGTGACACCTGGCTTGAGAGCAGTACATGTGAAAAGGATCTAGGAGTCTTGGTTGACCACAAACTTGACATGAGCCAACAGTGTGACACGGCAGCTAAAAAAGCCAATGCAATTCTGGGCTGCATCAATAGGAGTATAGCATCTAGATCAAGGGAAGCAATAGTGCCACTGTATTCTGCTCTGGTCAGACCTCACCTGGAGTACTGTGTCCAGTTCTGGGCACCACAGTTCAAGAAGGACACTGACAAACTGGAACGTGTCCAGAGGAGGGCAACCAAAATGGTCAAAGGCCTGGAAACGATGCCTTATGAGGAATGGCTAAGGGAGCTGGGTATGTTTAGCCTGGAGAAGAGGAGGTTAAGGGGTGATATGATAGCCATGTTCAAATATATAAAAGGATGTCACATAGAGGAGGGAGAAAGGTTGTTTCTGCTGCTCCAGAGAAGCGGACACGGAGCAATGGATCCAAACTACAAGAAAGAAGATTCCACCTAAACATTAGGAAGAACTTCCTGACAGCAAGAGCTGTTCGACAGTGGAATTTGCTGCCAAGGAGTGTGGTGGAGTCTCCTTCTTTGGAGGTCTTTAAGCAGAGGCTTGACAACCATATGTCAGGAGTGCTCTGATGGTGTTTCCTGCTTGGCAGGGGGTTGGACTCGATGGCCCTTGTGGTCTATTCCAACTCTATGATTCTATGATTCTATGCTTCTATGATTCTATGTTCAACCTTCACGGCCAGAGGCTGTATGCCTTTCATAGTGGGGGAGGAGAGCTGAAAATAATGTCAATATATTTCACATCTGGCAAACAATGCAGCCCTTTGGTTTCTGATAGTACATGAGTAGACGAGTCTTAAAAGCCCGGGACACAAAATAATAATAATAATAATAATAATAATAATAATAATAATAATTTATTTATACTCCGCCCATCTGGCTGTGTTTCCCCAGCCACTCTGGGTGGCTTCCAACAGAATATTAAAATACAATAGTCTATTAAACATTAAAACTTCCCTAAATACCCCAACTAAAGAATCATGGCAAGAAAAATTGATGGAGAACTGCAGAACTGGCAGAACTGGCAAAACTGGCATACAAGCTACGGGACAAGGATAACTGTGACTTTAAGGATGAATGAGAACCCTTTACAAAGTATCTGAAGACGCAACAAAGCGAACTGGACTCCTTGGCAGGTTTTGAATAAACATTCACAAACTTTTTTATTGATAACAATCAGCTAAATAGTTTGAGGATCTATACAACTTTGTAGCATGCAGAAAACAGCATTCTTAGAGAAACCAAAGACTGGAACTGAGGGAAGTCGGGGGGGTGGGTGGGTTTTGTGTGGGAGGGGGGGAGGGAGGAAAAATGGGGGGACGACCAGGATGATATGTTTTTGGATAATATGTCTTGTTATAATTTTGAATAATAATAATAAAAAAGCTTCCCTAAACAGGGCTTTCTTCAGATGTCTTCTAAAAGTCTGGTAGTTGTTCTTCTCTTTGACATCTGGTGGGAGGGCGTTCCACAGGGTGGGTGCCACTACCGAGAAGGCCCTCTGCCTGGTTCCCTGTAACTTGGAACACTGTCCCCAAAATATACACCAGGGGGCTTAGTGTGGTCAGAATCAAGTATATACTTCCAGAGTTAATGCTTAATACATTAGTTCTGGTAAATGAGTCACCATAGCTGCTAGTATAGTAATAACAATAATAATTTGCAAACTATAACAATGCAGTCTTAATCATTAATCATCTCGCTTTCCTCGCACCCAGCACATCTTTTCATCCACTCAATTTTCACGTCAACACAGCTTGCAGACATTCAAAAACCAATAACCATGTGCTGAAAAGCATTTCTTCCAATTTGTTAGAGTTCTTATCTACCCTTCGCCATAAGGTCCCAGGGTGGGTTACACCAATTAAAACAAAATGTTAAAAATGAGCAACAGTCAAGAGGATAGGGTGGCTTAAAAAAGTATTTATGTATCAGGTGTCAAAGGTCAGGGCAAAGAGGTGCATCTTCGGAATACGACAAAAGTTACACAACTTTCAACGGGGCTTGCGGGATACTTGCCCCGAAGCTTAGCTGGCGATGAAGAAATTGCCCCCAAAGTTCAGCTACAGCAGTTGGGACTCTGCGATGGGCCATGTCAAGTCAGACTGAGCGCTGCCCTTTCAAAGGTCTTTCGGTCTGAGCAAATCACCCTTGGAGTACCCTCTAACAAGAGGTCCTGCTGCTCTGGTGATCTTCTCTTCTCAAGGCTGACTCTACAATATTGATTATGTGGCAAAACTGATGTCTCGTCTATGTCCAGTCGAACAGGAAATGGCAGCTTTTAGGTCATGCCTTCCCTTGGACCAGAACTCATCAAGGGGAGCTGTCGGAAGGGAAGGGAACATGTTAATTTCCTTTCGAAATGTTGGAAGGTCGTTCTGAACAAAGATCAGTTCCCACCCACACTCGAGACATGTGCCCATATACAGTGGTACTTTGGGTTAAGTACTTGATTCGTTACGGAGGTCCGTTCTTAACCTGAAACTGTTCTTAACCTGAAGCACCACTTTAGCTAATGGGGCCTCCTGCTGCCGCCGCGCTACCACAGCATGATTTCTGTTCTCATCCTGAAGCATCCTGAAGCATCCTATTAACCTGAGGTAATATTTCTGGGTTAGCGGAGTCTGTAACCTGAAGTGTATGTAACCTGAAGCGTATGTAACCCGAGGTACCACTGTATCTATAAGCCCTGGTACCTCTTGGTACCGCCAAGACCATCTAACACCGGTCCTGAAAGACCTATATTGACTCCCAGTACGTTTCCGAGCACAATTCAAACTGCTGGTGCTGACCTTTAAAGCCCTAAATGGCCTCGGCCCAGTATACCTGAAGGAGCGTCTCCACCCCCATCGTTCTGCCCAGACACTGAGGTCCAGCTCTGAGAGCCTTCTGGCTCTGAGCGTCGTTCAGCAGTAGCGAACATGATGCCTTCTAATAGTTCAGGGATAGGGGACCTGTGGCCATCAGGATATTTTGGGACTCCAACTCCCATCATCCTCGGCCATCAAGGCCAACGGTCAGGGATGATGGGATCTGTAGTCCAGCAAAATCTGGAGGATGCCACATTGGCTGCCCACAGTATAGTTAGAAGGAGATGTTTCACTGATTCTTGATTGTTGGAAGAGAGGGTTGCAATGTTCCTTGCAAAACAACAACTGCCCTGCTTAAAACCAGGCACTCGTCTTCTGTTGCTGCTACACTAAGGTCACGACGGGGATAAATTGCCACCTTGTCACAGGGTCACTTCCTTTTATCACAGGAGGAAAATTCCCATGTTAAGGTCAATCATTTATACCTGCCTTGCCTGAGAGGGTCTTGATCCTTCGGCCAGAAGGGTGATGTCTTTGTTGCTGGGTATCGATGCTGATATATTCACGTAGCGTGGCAAGTGTATATATGTCAGATTTGTCCATCAGATTCGTTCATTTTGGGGTGACTTCCCCTCAAGCTTTGTAAACATCCTCCCCCCATCTCCAGAAGACGTCAGTCGTTTCCACATCTTCCTGTCTGGGCTTGACAAGTGGTCCTTTTTGAATGCTGCTCCCTGCCTCCGAAAGGGGAGGGCATCTCTGTACAGAAGACTTAAATAGGGATTCCTACATGACGAGCACATTGTACGTTGCATGGAAGGCATTCCACAGCTACCAAAGGCTTTGGCGCATCAGGAGAGCTGAGCATGAAGGTATGTGGGGACGGCAGTCATTTCTTCTTAGTTTTGAGTTGGTCTCCTTATAGCTGCTAAGAATGGCAAGGGATCCCATGCCCTATTCTCGCAGTTCAAAATGTCAGAGTAATTGATCACGTATAGAAAACTCATAAATCTTCCATAGCAGCACAAGGTGATCTTGGGGCTGTGTTTAGAAACCCCAATGAAATGTGGAGATTCTCACCCCACCCCCCTTATGATTGATTTTAGTGTCTGTGTGCCAATAGGATGGCTCCAATAATTCTTTCAATTGAATGTTGTCTGATTTGATTATAAATATAAACTTCAGAAGACTTTGGGAGGAGGGGGGAAATGTAACAGGAGGCTGGATTCTTTCAGATCGCAAGGACGTCTATTATTGTGTCTCTCAGATTAAAGCTCAGCCTCTGAAATAATGTCGACGAAGTGAAGATTGCAAAGTCCCGGTTCTTAAGGCTGCAGTCCTTTACCTGGAAGTAAGCACCACTGAACTTAATGGGTTTGACCTCTGAGTAGGCAGGTATAAGAAGCATGTCTCTCCCACTAAGATTAGTTAGATGTAAAATTTGGCTTTATTGTGTCCAGGAAGGATATACTGTATAATGTACATGCACATGTAGATTTGGATATAGATGCGTGTGTAGAATTATAGCTATATATTAGGTTGGTAATCCATTTACTGAAATCTTGGTTGATTAATCCCATGATTTTCACTCAGTTAAATATGCACGTTTTCAAATAACTAAAAGCCAGAGTTTGTTTTGGGGGTGATGCGAACATCCATACCTCATGGTAGTTATTCCCTGCTGTGGAAGAATTTTGAGATAGCCTCCGCCATCCATGATTTTTGTAGAACACTCTACTCAATGTGATTTTTAAAATCTACTGTCCTATGAATGAGGGGCACCTTTGAAAGTGGTCAAAGTTTCTTTGGCTGAGATTCTGTATAGTGAGTCTTTGCTGTCAAATCTATTATTATTATTATTATTATTATTATTATTATTATTATTATTCAAGCTGTGGCTGTGAAGGAAGAATTTTCCCCTAAAGTTTAAAACCACTTGACACCACCTGAAAATCTGCATTAATAACTGCATAATGAATTGGTCATGTGATACCAGGTGAATGACAGGTAGGCACCTTCAATGACTGGTCAAACTAGCCCGTGGAAGGTTGGCCAAACCCAGTTTGAAATATGCATTTACGAACATGAGTTTGACCAAGCTGTGGGAGGCAGTGGAAGACAGGAGTGCCTGGTGTCCTCTGGTCCATGGGGTCACGAAGAGTCGGACACGACTAAACGACTAAACAACAACAAGCCTCCTTGAACACGGTGGTACTTACTTCCAAGTAAACATTGATAGGATTGCATTGCTAATAAACTAATGTTAACACTGTTATTAACTTAAACCTATTGCAAACCCTTTTATCTAGACAAGCCTTCCCAAAGGAGGGATCTCAGCCATGCAGTTTGGATCGGGGCAACTTGCTTGACCCATGTTTACAGATGTTATTAGAGCTGTCATAGAGGGAGGGAGACAAGAGTCGCACAACGACACTCACGCCAAGATACTCTAGGGAAGAACGAGCTGCCATTTCTCCAGCCCTCCAACCTCTGATATACTTTATGCTTGCAATTAGTCTTCATTTAAATACTGGTTCATTTTACAAGTGCCACTTAACATTCATTCCTCACTTGCAAGGAATTGATCTTTTAGTGTGGTGGCACCCAATCTGCGGAACTCCATGCCTCTTGATAATAGGCAGGAACCTTCATTGTACTGTTTCTGGTGCCTGCAAAAAGCCTTTTTGTTTAGAAACATGGAAACCAACTCCTAGGGGCCAAGGTCCCTTCACCTCCCCCGGTAGACGATTTGAGGGGGCTGGGCTCTCCCCAAAGTTGATGCGCATTGCCATTCAAATGGTGTTTGCACTCCGTGTCTTGTTGTCAATTATGTGGGGCAGAGTTTATCTGTGTCCCCCCCCCAATATTTTATTCACTTTGACGCACATCCTAATTTTTTTTATCTGAAAAAGTTGGATGGTATGTTACGCCAATCTCGGCTTGACTGTACTAGCTGCTAGTTGATTTCTAGGCTCAATTCCAAGTGCTGTTTTAGACCTAAGGTAAAGGTAAAGGGACCCCTGACCGTTAGGTCCAGTTGCAGACAACTCTGGGGTTGTGGTGCTCATCTCGCTTTATTGGCCGAGGGAGCCGGCGTACAGCTTCCGGGTCATGTGGCCAGCATGACTAAGCCACTTCTGGCGAACCAGAGCAGAGCATGGAAACGCCGTTTACCTTCCTGCCGGAGCGGTACCTATTTATCTTCTTGCACTTTGACGTGCTTTCAAACTGCTAGGTTGGCAGGAGCAGGGACCAAGCAACGGGAGCTCACCCCATTGTGGGGATTCGAACCGCCAATCTTTTGATCGGCAAGCCCTAGGCTCTGTGATTTAGACCACAGCGCCACCCACGTCCCTATAAAGCCTTAAATGGCCCAGGACCACAATAACGTAAGGACCACCTGTCCCCAAATGAACTGACCCAGACTCTGCAGTCATAATCTGAGGCCCTTCTTTGTATGTCTCCTCCACGTGAGGTCTGGATGGAGAAAGGGCCTTTTCTGTGGTGGCTCCTTGTTTGCGAGACGCTCTCCCCAGGGAGGCTCACCTGGTGCCATCATTACATCTCTTTAGGGCGAAGACATTTCTCTTCAACCAGGCTGACTAAAGATTCCATGGCCTTTTAAAAGGCGAAAGATTTATGCGATCTGAAGAGAAACCAGAGTATGATTCCATGGCCTTTTAAATGTGTCTCGGCTGAGGGGGCATTATCAATTTCGCTTTATGATGTATTTTGTGTTTTCCTTTTGTATCATTCTGTTGTGAACCGCCCTGCGGTCTTTGAATAGCGGGCGATATGCAAATTTAATAAATAATAAATAAAACAAACGCAATAAAATAAATAACACGACCATGTCCTCTTGGCCTCTTTTGCCCGCTCCAGGGACTCCACCGGGGGACGGCCACTGCCCTGGCCTTGCTGCTCTCTGCCTGTTTCATCACTTTTTCCAGGACTGCTCCTCAGGTAAAGGCAGCTCTGGGTTTGTATCGGCTCAGTCGTACAGAGCGAAACTTAGGCAGGAGTCCACAGTTCACTGCGCATGATCTAAGGGGAAGAACCCTTTTCAGTCTGAAAGCCACATTCTCTTCTGGGCAAAGCTCTGGGTGACGTACACTGTTGGGATACTGCCGGGGAGACGGGGGCATTTGGCAAGCCCCCAGCTGGCTCCAGCCGGCGACACCGGTCTCCCTCGGAGCAGCATCAAACAGCGACACGAGCCTCGGATAAGTTTAGAGTCCTGTGCATGCTCTATCAACAGACTGAGTAAATCTCCCCACAGCAGAAGAGGCAGACAGAGAAATGTGTAAGCATAATGTACAGCATTTTATTCAGCATAGTTCAGGAACAAAGGAAAACATGTCTGCTTCCCTTTGTCTCCAGCAAAACAGCTGTAATGCAAAAGCTATATACAAACGGAACTTCCCAGCAAGCGCTGGAAGTAAACAGGCATGTGACACACAACAGTCATGCCTGTACCCTTTTAAGGTGGAACAGAACTATATCCTAACATATGTGTAATAATAATAATAATAATAATAATAATCCCTTCCCTTACCACCCCTTTCTTGTTTTGTTCCAAAGGATCACTTCCAAAGAAGAAACTGGACTCCACAAGCAATGCTCTATTTAAAGGGTGCACGTAAGTCTTGATTCCAATTTCTCCTCCTGGGAAGGAGTTTGTTTGGAGTGAGTCCTTTCTCCCTGGGAATCCTTTTTTAGTGTGTATGTGGAGGAAGGGAGTGTTTCCTATTTCTCTATAATAAAGTGTTTGTGGAAGGGGCGTTATTAGTTTGTTTTCGTTTTATGTATTTTGTGTTCTCATTCTGCGTTCTTACATTGTGAACTGGGATCTTCGGATGAAGAGCAGTATACAGCTTTAATAATAATTATTTTTGTGGGTCCAACACACTGGACTAACTCCAATGGGATGGATCAGGCAATTGGGAACAACAGGTAGGCTTGACTCTCTAGAGAGTGGCTGGGTGGGGTGCTGGCTAAGGGCCGAGGTGCTCTCAGGGGTCCACTGACCCACTGGCCATCTTGACCCTCCAGGACTGGGGTATTGCAGCTGAAGGAATCCTGTTTGTTGCTTCTGCCACAAAGGTCTCTCCTCTGCCTTTCTCTTGGGCCTCAGTGGTTCCTAATCATCATCATCATTTATTTATACCCCGCCCATCTGACTGGGTTTCCCCAGCCTCTCTGGGCAGCTTTCAACCGAATATTAAAAACAATACAGCACCAGACATTAAAAGCTTCCCTAAACAGTTGTCTTTTAAAAGTAAAATTGTTGTTTATTGCCTTGACATCTGCTGGGAGGGCATTCCACAGGGCAGGCACCACTACCGAGAAGGCCCTCTGCCTGGTTCCCTGTAACCTCACTTCTCGCAGGGAGGGAACCACCAGAAGGCCCTCGGTGGTGGATCTCAGTGTCCCGGCTGAACAATGGGGGTGGAGATGCTCCTTCAGGTATACAGGACCAAGGCCGTTTAGGGCTTTAAAGGTCAGCACCAGCAGTTTGAATTGTGCTTGGAAACGTACTGGAAGCCAATGAAGATCTTTCAGGACCCGGTGTTATATGGTCTTGGCAGTCCACTCCCAGTCACCAGTCTAGCTGCCGCATTCTGGATTAATTGCAGTTTCCGAGTCACCTTCAAAGGTAGCGCCACGTAGAGCACATTGTAGTAGTCCAAGCAGGAGATAAACTAGAGCATGCACCACTCTGGCAAGACAGTCTGTGGGCAACTGCTCCACCTCATCTGGAGTTACTTCACACCATTGAATTCCACCACGTCAAACACATCTTTTCTAAAATGTGCAAAGATTCCTGCACGCAGTTGTGTTTTCATGCACTCCACTGCTACATCCTTGCTAGGGTCTTTGGAGTATTGTCAGGGACTGTTCCTGAGGAGGGCTGCACTGAGGAGGAATGGTGGGATCCTGATCAGGATCCCGAATCTTCCCAGGAACAGGGAAGTAGTATAGATTTGGAATAGTGGTTTGCAGAGGGACATAGTTCAGAAGGCAGAAGCTGGGAAGTACTGGGTGGGGAACAGCTAGGAGGAGAAGAACAGAGAGAGAGAGAGAGAGAGAGAGAGAGAGAGAGAGAGAGAGAGAGTTAACAGACTCACTGTCGCTGGAAAGCATCCATCCGCTCAGCCCAAGGTCAAGGAGAGCAGATAAGGTGGCAACACAGAAAGTACAGTGGTTGCAAGATCAGGTTACAAGACATGGTAGTGACGTGGATGACTAGGGAGGAAGTGAGTGGAACCCTTAATTGGGAGCACCGCCATTCCTAGGAATGGATTCTTTGTTCTCTCACTGAGATCTTTTAAATTTCTAACTGGTAAGAGACTTCTTTCACTTTGATCTGCTTATCTATGGCCGGGGGGGGGGGGTAGAGCCTGACAAGCTAGTATCCCACATTGGCGTTGGAAGTCCAGCAGCCCAGGAAGTAAATTGTATTGAATTCAATGAGGTTTACTCCCAGATAACAGAAGTTAGCAGGATGTCACAGCCTTCCAAAATCTTTTGAATACTTTGCTTTATAAATTTATGATACTTTTTTTTGAGCTCCTTTGCTTAGTGCCAGTCACCTCTCCTAAAACAAGCAAAGGATCTCTTCACGCTGTGATTTTCTCCCAAACCTCCCCAAAGATTATCACTTAAGCCCCCCCTCCCACTTTCCCCTACCTCTTACTCCCCACCTCCCAAACTCTTTGACATTGCAGGAGACTCTTGCGGGATTTCAGTTCTGGTGCATTTATTTGCCGGTATCTTCTGTGAGATGTAATTGATGCAACAATGGGGCATTTGTGATGGATTCGGACACACTGTTCTGCTTATTGTCCTGAGATGGTTCCCTAACAGTGACCACATTATGACACTCTGGAGGGGTTCTCTTGCAACGTAGTGGAACAAAACAGCAACAGCCTTAGACCATTTGTGGTATTAAAAATGACAGGATTCCATCGGGAGGTAATGGGCCATGCGCTGATTGGAAATGAAGCAGTATGTCTGCCCCAAAACATTTGTAGGCACCAACAGAATTCCGGTTCAGGACTTCTTTTCAGCCGGAATTCAGGTGGGCGTTATTGCCATTATAAGAGAACCAGGGAGGCGTTCATGGTGAGTTCTGGTACCTTTTTTTTGCTAGAAAATCAGCCCTGTGTGTAAAGGTAAAGGTAAAGGGACCCCTGACCATTAAGTCCAGTTGTGGACGACTCTGGGGTTGCGGCACTCATCTCGCTCTATAGGCCGAGGGAGCCGGCACTTGTCCGCAGACAGCTTCCAGCATGACTAAGCCGCTTCTGGCGAACCAGAGCAGTGCATGGAAACGCCGTTTACCTTTCCGCCGGAGTGGTACCTATTTATCTACTTGCACTTTGACGTGCTTTCGAACTGTTAGGTGGGCAGGAGCTGGGACCGAACAACAGGAGCTCACCCCGTCGCAGGGATTCGAACTGCCGACCTTCTGACTGGCAAGCCCTAGGCTCTGTGGTTTAGACCACAGTGCCACCCGCGTCCCTGTTAGCCCTGTGTATAGCCAGCCCAGTACCATCCTGGATGCACAATAAAGAGGATGCCTTTGGAAGACGCCCTAGGACTGCAAATATTGCCCAAGAATTACCACCTATTACAACTCATTGTCATTGCATTTCAGAAGGCCGTCGGTTCATCTCAGAGGAAAGCCAGAGGAAGGATCTGTACGACAGGCTGCAGCTAGGTAAGCATGGCTGTGTGTGAAGCACATTGAAATTGGACACCACCACCACTTTTAGAAAACATGTAAGTGCCTCTGCCTAGTAAAAATGGATCCTAATGTGTATTGAAAATACGTTTGTCCTTGCAGAAACACGGAGCCAAAACACAAACCCTCTGACCCTTCCTGAAGCTGTGGCGTTGTTTCTGTCCTCCTTGCAAAAAGCGCATGAGGAAGGTAACATCTCATTTCGCTCCAGGAGTTCCTTTTCAAGCTTTTTGCTAATTGAAAGCAACTTGCCGCTCCTTTGTCATTTGCAAGGCCCATTTCTTGTGCAATTCCTTCACTGTGATCCGTTGGGTTTTATTACTGCTGTAGCCATAAAATGCATGTGTGCCCTTTGTCATGAGATTAAAAACCACCCAGTGATATGTGTGAGTCGGAAAATGTAAACAGCCATTTGTCTCTCGGATAATGTCCCAAGACAGCTTTTAAAAACATATATGCTAAGGACGCAACTCAGTACTCCATTAAAGGTAAAGGTAAAGGGACCCCTGACCATTAGGTCCAACCGTGACTGACTCTGGGGTTATGGCGCTCATCTCGCTTTATTGGCTGAGGGAGCCGGCGTACAGCTTCCAGGTCATGTGGCCAGCATGACTAAGCCGTTTCCGGCGAACCAGAGCAGCGCACGGAAACGCCGTTTGCCTTCCGGCTGGAGTGGTACCTATTTATCTACTTGCACTTTGATGTGCTTTCGAACTGCTAGGTTGGCAGGAGCAGGGACCAAGCAATGGGAGCTCACCCCGTCGCGGGGATTCGAACCACTGACCTTCTGATCAGCAAGTCCTAGGCTCTGTGGTTTAACCCACAGTGCCACCCGTGTCCCTAAGTACTCCATTATTTTCTGGTAAATGCCAATTAAATCAATGTAGAATGGCTGCCAGTCAGTGTTGACATTGCTGACTCCATCTAAGGAGTCTCATGTTTCTATTTGGGAAAGATCAAAATTCAGTAGAAGAGCATCTGATTGATTTCATGTAATACATAATTTATTTATTTTGGTTTGTTTTTTTGTTTTTTTAAAAAAAATTTTATTGGTTTTACAAAATTTTAAGAACAAACAAACACTTAAAAAGACATACAAACACGTATAATTTCATAATGTTTTTCCTAAACCTCTTTTCTGAGACTCCCCCATACCCCCCCCTTTCTGCATCCCAATGTCCATAGTTTTATAGCAACTCCCAATGTTACTTTCCAACCTCTGTCCTTAGTTATCTCTATAATCTGACCTTATATCACTGTATCCCTTTGTTTCTGAAAACCATAACACTCTAACATTCATCAAGTTTATAATAGTCCTTAAGATAACTTTTGAATTTTCTCCATTCTTCTTCCACCGTCTCTTTTCCTTGGTCACGGATTCTGCCTGTCATCTCGGCCAGTGTCATATAGTCCATCACTTTCATCTGCCATTCTTCCAGAGTGGGTAGATCTTGTGTCTTCCAATACTTTGCGATAAGTATTCTTGCTGCTGTTGTAGCATACATAAAAAAAATTCTATCCCTCTTTGGCACCAATTGGCCGACAATGCCCAAGAGAAAGGCCTCTGGTTTTTTAAGTAAAGTACTTTTAAGTACCTTTTTCATTTCATTATAGATCATTTCCCAGAAAGCCTTAATCTTTGGGCATGTCCACCAAAGGTGATAGAAGGTACCTTCAGTCTCTTTACATTTCCAACATTTGTTATCGGGCAAATGGTAAATTTTTGCAAGCTTGACTGGGGTCATGTACCACCTATAAATCATTTTCATTATGTTTTCTCTTAAGGCATTACATGCCGTAAACTTAACACCGGTGATCCATAACTGTTCCCAGTCAGCAAACATAATGTCATGACCAATATCTTGTGCCCATTTAATCATAGCTGATTTCACCGTTTCATCCTGTGTATTCCATTTCAGCAACAAGTTATACATTCTTGATAAATTCTTAGTATTGGGTTCTAACAGTTCAGTCTCTAGTTTTGATTTTTCCACCTGAAAGCCAATTTTCCTGTCCTGTTTGAAAAGCTCCATTATTTGATGATATTGAAGCCAATTTTGTACTTTATGTTTCAATTTCTCATAACTTTGTAATTTCCACTTATCTCCATCCTGTTCCAAGATTTCCCAATACTTCGGCCATCCGACCTCCATATTGAGTTTCTTTACTGCTTTAGCCTCCACTGGTGACACCCATCTAGGGGTTTTGTTTTCCAACAGATCTTTATATCTTATCCATACATTAAACAATGCTTTCCTAACAATGTGATTTTTAAAGGCACTATGCAGCTTGATTTTGTCATACCATAGATATGCATGCCAACCAAAAACATTGTTAAAACCTTCCAGATCCAAAATGTCTGTGTTCTCGAGGAGCATCCATTCTTTCAGCCAGCAAAAAGCTGCTGCCTCATAGTACAATTTTAAGTCCGGCAGGGCAAAACCCCCTCTTTCTTTAGCGTCTGTCAATATTTTAAATTTGATTCTGGGCTTTTTGCCCTGCCAGACAAATTTCGAAATATCTTTCTGCCACCTCTTAAAACATTCCATCTTATCAAGAATCTGCAAGGTCTGAAACAAAAATAACATTCTAGGCAATACATTCATTTTAATCACTGCAATTCGGCCTAACATTGACAATTTCAAATTTGACCATATTTCTAGATCCTTTTTGATCTCTGACCAACATTTTTCATAATTATCCTTATACAAATTCACATTTTTAGATGTCAAATAAACCCCTAGGTATTTCACCTTCTTAACCACCGTCAACCCTGTCTCCTCTTGGAATTTCTCCTTTTCCATATCTGTTAAATTTTTTCCTAAGACTTTGGTTTTTTGTTTATTCAACTTAAATCCAGCTACCTGGCCAAACTGTTGGATTATTTCTAGAACCTTTTTCGTACTAGTGTTTGGCTCTTGCAAAGTCAATACTAGGTCATCTGCAAATGCTCTTAACTTATAATGTTTAGCTCCGACCTGCACTCCTTTAACCTGCTGGTCATTCCTAATCATATTCAGCAACACCTCCAGAACCGAAATGAAAAGTAATGGGGAAATTGGGCACCCCTGTCGTGTTCCTTTTTCTATCTTAAGCTCCTCAGTTATCACATTATTTACAATCAATTTAGCTTTTTGTTCAGAATATATTGCAGCCATGCCATTCTCGAAGCCTTGTCCTACCCCCATCCCATGAAGATTCTTTATCATAAAGCTCCAAGAAATATTGTCAAAGGCTTTCTCCGCGTCCACAAAGATCAGTACTGCTTTAGTATTTATATTCACCTCTAGCTTTTCCAAAATATCTATTATATTCCTTACATTGTCTGCTAGGTGTCTTTTTGGGAGAAAGCCTGCTTGATTCTTGTGAATCTTTTCCATCAACACTTTTTTAAATCTTTTTGCCAAAATGTCTGCAAAAATTTTGTAATCCACATTAAGTAGTGATATTGGGCGGTAGTTCTTCAGTTGAGTCTTTTCAGTCTCTGTCTTTGGTATGAGTGAAATATATGCTTCTTTCCACGATTCAGGTGCCTTTTTTCCCTCAAGAATCCCATTACAGACTTCTTTTAGTGGTTGAGTCAACCATTCCTTCAAGGATTTGTAGTATCTAGAGGTCAATCCATCTGGTCCTGGAGATTTGCCCAATTGCATATTCTGAATGGCATCCTCTATCTCTTGTTCTGTTATTCTCTGGTTCAGATCTATCTTACTTTGATGAGAGATTTTTTGTAATCCATATTTATCAAGGAATTTGTCTATATCTTCTTCATTTTGCGGGCCTTGGGTATAAAGTTTTTTAAAATAACTCAGGAAGCAATTTCTAATTTCATTAGGTTTAGATATATTCTTTCCATCCACTTCTAGACTTGTAACTGTATTTAATTTCTGCCTTTTCTTCAATTGCCATGCCAGAAGTTTGCCACATTTATTTGCTGATTCAAACGTCTTTTGTTTCATTTGCTTTATCTTCCATTCAATCTCTTGGTTCATCAATTCCATATATTGTGTTTGATATAACTTAATCTCTCTTAAGATCTCCTGGGACTTTGGTTTTACTCTTAATTTTTTCTCTCCTTCCTTTATCTTTTCCAAAATCTTTTCTTTTTTCTCATTTTGTTTTTTCCTCTTTATTGAGTTTTGTTGAATCAAGAAACCTCGCATCACCGCTTTGCTTGCGTCCCAGACCACTCTTTTCTCCACATCAGCCCTCAAATTTATTTCAAAATAGTCTTTTAAGGTTTTTTGGGCCTTCATAAGAATCTCCTTATCTCGAAAGAGGGTGTCATTCATTCTCCATCTAAATTGACCAGTTGTTGTAAATTTCATTTCCACATAATTTATTTATTTTGATCCCGTTATGGCTTTAGATACCTATTAAAGGTAAAGGTAAAGGTACCCCTGCCCGTACGGGCCAGTCTTGACAGACTCTAGGGTTGTACGCCCATCTCACTCAAGAGGCCGGGGGCCAGCGCTGTCCGGAGACACTTCCGGGTCACGTGGCCAGCGTAACATTGCTGCTCTGGCGAGCCAGAGCCGCACACGGAAATGCCGTTTACCTTCCCGCTTGTAAGCGGTCCCTATTTATCTACTTGCACTCGAGAGTGCTTTCGAACTGCTAGGTTGGCAGGCGCTGGGACCGAACAACGGGAGCACACCCTGCCGCAGGGATTCGAACTGCCGACCTTTCGATCGGCAAGCCCTAGGCGCTGAGGCTTTTACCCACAGCGCCATCCGCGTCCCTAGATACCTATTAGGTCCATAAATTACCATATAGCATATATTCAACACAAAAAACCAGCGGCAATTTGTTGTTGACAAAGGACAGCTGGACATATAAAGGACCCCATTACCTTCAGTAGCTTAGGGCCTCATCAAACCTAAATCCGGCCCTGCACAGAGGCATGCGTTTTTAAAAATACTAAAAGACAGTATTAGGCCATCCTGCAGAGCTCTCCTGAACGCTCCCACTCTTTGTTCTAGCAGGTGAAGAGGATGCTGAAGAGAAGCCTGGCTATGTTGCTGATGGGCTGCTGAACTGGTGAAAGGTGTTTGAGCTTAGATGGAAACGTCCTGTTGCATGTACTTAAAAAAAGAAAAAAAGAAAATATCTTCCACAGAAGAAGAAGAAAACTCAACTTTTCCCATTCATCTCATCCGCCTGCCTGGCCTCAGCTGCCCTCTGAATCTCCCTGTGGCACAAATGCTAAACAATTAAAGGGCAGTTTCCAGCTTACAAACCTGTTTTTACATGCATTTGTTATTATAATGTTCAGCTCATACTATATATATATCATGGGCCTTCTGTATGCGTCGTGTATTTCCTCCCCTATCTCCACCCTTTGGTTTTGCAAATATCTGAAGGATAAAAGCTGAAAATGACTTGGTCACGCGTGTCTAGTTAAGTAAGACACGGAAACGGAAGTGATGAAAGCTGGATATTTGTAAAAAAAAAAAAGTATTTCATCCTTAGGGGTCAGTTGCCCAGTTAACTCTTTATTTCCTCTCCAGTAGTTGCCAATTTTGGATGGTGCAGGCTTGTGTCTACACGGCATGTGTAGGCTTGGTTTATACAAATTCAATTGCCATGGCGTCTCCCAAAGTGGGAAATGTGGTTTGGTGCGTGTGCTGAGTGTTCTCTGTTAGAGATCCCTTGCCCGTCTTACAAAACTACAGTTCCCAAGGTTCTCTGGGCTGAGAGAATGACTGTTAAACCAAATAAAGCCCTCAAGTGTAGGAATATGTGTGTTTGTGTCTCTGTGTGTAGACACAAACACACACACATCACCACAGCATTGACCTTACAGGGTGTATATCTGTGCTGTGGATTCTGGAGTAGGTTAGGTTAAGCAAAAACAAGTCCTTTTTCACACCAATGCATAATCAGCTTGTGGAACTCATGGCCACAAGAGCCCCCTGCAGATGCTCCCCCATGAATTCAATGAAGTTATCAAGATCTTACCTGCTAAACATGTCCCCCCGCCCCAGTAGCTGCACATCAAGTGGTAATGTGAAGGGATCTTATGCACGTACAGATCTATGTGAGCAGAACGTGGGAAGCACTGAGTGGATTCAGATAACTCTGATGCATGAGGAAGTGGTCAAGTGGTTTCCCTTCTTGTCCATCCTTGCAGGTTATGGGTTTGGCAAAGAGTTCAGAGACTTTTAAAATATTTTGGATGCATCAGTGCACACTCCCTCCCTTCCTTGCTGATTTTAAGTCTCATCCACTTGCTGTGGATACGATGCATTGAAACTTGTGTTTAGCCTGTAGTTGTTCCGCACGATTGATGCTTCCTCCATATTTCTGGGTTTCTGTTTTGCATTTTGTTACTCCTCAGTTCAGTAAGCTTTTCAGCGCTATTATGGAATACATCCATTCCAGCTAAACTGTAACCTACTCCTTCAGACCGGGGCGGGGGGAGAATCAATATTGCACCTAATTATTATTATTATTGCATCTGTACTGAAGAATCATTTAATAAAAATTTGGAAACAACTTCACCTGTTCCTTTGGCCTCCAACTTCGCCCTAACCGGAAGCCTAAGGCAAAGCAATTAGAAAGCTAAAAGCATAAGCTCAGATTAAGCATCATTTAATAATACTTCTAATGGCGAAACCAGATGAATGCATGTTTAATACACAGAGGGTGGATCTACACACGGGGGGGGGGCACTATAAATAAATCAGAAATTAAATTGTTATAACAAAAAAAAAAATTGCTATGGAAAATCGCTTAGAATTTTTCTTTGCTCTCTGGTGCCATCTGGAGTCGCAGGTTTGTAACGCATTCAAAACGCTCCTTTCTTGACTAATGTAGCTGGGTCCACAATCTCACTAGTTCAGCTATAAAATGGAGGTGGGGTAACTTTCTAGAGGTAAAGGAGAATGCAGGGAGAGGAGTGAAAATTGCCCACCCCCAATTCCACCATCTTAAGAACCTATGACGAGCGTGCTGGATCAGGCCAATGTTCAGCATCCTGTTCTCACAGTGGCCAATCAGATCCAAGCACAAGAGTCCCTCTCCCTTCCAGCAACTGCGATTCAGAAGCCTTTGGATTACTGCAGGCTTCCTCAACCTCGGCCCTCCAGATGTTTTGAGACTACAGTTCCCATCATCCCTGACCACTGGTCCTGCTAGCTAGGGATCATGGGAGTTGTAGGCCAAAAACATCTGGAGGGCTGAGGTTGAGGAAGCCTGAATTACTGCCTCCAACCACGACTAGTAGCCATTGAAAGGGATGGAGGAAAATTCATTTGGTTCACATTTTATTGCGAAGCTAACACACTTCATGCTTCCCGAACCAAACAGAAAGCTGAAATGCAACGATCCATTGAGATTCACCCGTATTTGAATTTTGCAATGCAGTTCTTCAACCCAAAAATAACCACACGAAATAATAATAATAATAAACCTCGGCACAGAAAGAATTATACTCATCAAGATAATGTACAAAAATGCATTCTGGTAGGGAAAAAATGCTTGCAGAAATATGTGTTATGGTGGGGGGAGGAAATGTATGAATTTTCATGTGGACTGAATAATTAAAAAAAGAACTTAATGAGAAACGGAAATCAAAATTGACAGATTTTTCCACCCCTTCCTTCAATGCTTCAAAATGTTTTCCCATTTCTGATACAGTGGTATCTCAGGTTACATACGTTTCAGGTTACACACTCCGCTAACCCAGAAATAGTGCTTCAGGTTAAGAACTTTGCTTCAGGATAAGAACAGAAATCGGGCTCCGGCGGCGTGGCGGCAGCAGGAGGCCCCATTAGCTAAAGTGGTGCTTCAGGTTAAGAACAGTTTCAGGTTAAGAACGGACCTCCAGAACGAATTAAGTATTTAACCTGAGGTACCACTGTACTGTGGTCAGGCAAGTATCCTAAAACAGCAAATCGCAGGGAGATAAGGTAGAAGGGGATTCCCCCCCCTTCTCCCATCTCCTGCATGTTCCCTTTGAGTTAACCATTCTTTTCTCACCCATTATACCCAAATAGACAAATTCGTGTTTAATAAGCCCTGTGCCCCTTCAAATGTTGCATGACTACAACTCCCATCGTGCCTTTCTGTCTGATGAGGCTGATGAGATCTACAACATCTGCATTTGTTTTCTTCCCACCGTCTTCCCAATCCCTTCCCCCCTCCCTGCTCTGAATCTTCCCAGTGAACTGTAAACATAAATAGTTGAGTTTGGAGGATAAAACTGGCATCTACTGCCCTTTCCATAGACAGACCCCATAAACAAATCTACAACAGCATCAACTACAACGCTGACCCTTTCGGTTCATTCAATTCTCACAGAAATCAGAAAGTAGTAATAGTTTGTGGTTTATTGTGGATGTGGACAAGTTCAGACGGGCGACATATTATGGCCAGGAACTGTATGCAAGCACTGAATAATAAGATGTTTTGAGGTCTGCTGGTTGACCGCAAATTATTCAAAGTAATTCTAGACTGGTTGTTTTAAAGGTGGAGGGAAATGACCGTTCTTTGGAATACAGCAGTGTTCCCCAACCTTGGGCCTCCAGCTGTTTTTGGACTACAACTCCCATCATCCCTCGCTAGCAAGACCAGTGGTCAAGGATGATGGGGACTGTAGTCCAAAAACAGCTGGAGGCCCAAGGTTGGGGAACACTGGAATACAGGATAAGCAGCACGATTATAAGCAGGGACTCCATCCCCCCAAAAATAGCTTAAATAAATTTCCGTTTACAGATCTCTAGCTGTGGAAGAGATTCTTCAAATATTTCTAGATCGTGGTTCTAAGATGGAGAAGCTGTGGGAAAAGGACGTATAGGGAATGCAGAAGAAAGGAAGTTTCTGCTTAAACATCTCTTGGGATCGGGTGCTTCAGTTCTGAGCCGTAGAATTGTAGAGGGGTACCCAATGGCCATCTAGTCCAACCCCCTGGAATGCAGAAATCAGAGCTCAAAAATCCCTGACAGATGGCCATCCAACCTCTGCTTAAAGGTCTGTCCAATGAAGGAGAGTCTACCACTTTCCAAGACGGTCCATTCCACTGTCGAACAGCTCTTACCGTCATAAAGTTCTCCCTAACGTTTACTCAGAATCTCCTTTCCTGTAATCTGAACCCACTGGTTTGGGTCCTGCCCTCTGGAGCAGCAGTCATTCACAAAAGTAAGCAATCAATTCTGAATTATTATAAGCACTAAGCCCCCCCCCCCCGCACTGTTGGGAAGAAAATATCTCTCATCCTATAACCCATTACATCAAAAGCAAGTGCCGTATTTTTCGCTCTATAAGACGCACCAGACCACAAGACGCACCTAGTTTTTGGAGGAGGAAAACAAGGGAAAAAATATTCTTAATCTCAGAAGCCAGAACAGCAAGAGGGATCGCTGCACAGTGAAAGCAGCAATCCCTCTTGCTGTTCTGGCTTCTGGGATAGCTGCGCAGCCTGCATTCGCTCCATAAGACACACACACATTTCCCCTTACTTTTTAGGAGGGAAAAAGTGAGTCTTATAGAGCAAAAAATACGGTAAATAAGACAAAGACATGGGGCTGTATCCAATTAAGCCATACTCAGAGTAAACCCATTGAAATCAATGAAATTAGCAAAGTGTGTTTATTCCGCTGGTTCTACTCTGAGTATGACTTAGCTGGATACAACCTGGTGTTGGGAAGCCGGGAAACAGCTAGTAAGTCATAATCTTTATGTTTAAGAATTCTGTATGCTGGTATTTGCTTTTGATATTTTCAAGTTTTGCTTTATATTAATAGTCTCTCTCTCTCTCTCTGAGGGTATTGATTGTGCCTGTTAAACAAAACGTTTGGAAAGAAAGGCAAAAAGACTCACTTTTAGAAGCAGGTCTAAGCCAGCTACCAATTGTGAAAAGAATGTACTAGACATACATAATGATGCTTTGATCTCTCTGACTTACAGATGAGAGTCTCAAAGTTCTTAAGGTAGATCCACAACAGACAGAACGCTGAAAATGTCTTCATTGCAAGAAGTCTGAAAACTGACCTTCGAGGGTGCTTGAAGTCTTCTCTGATAACAGGGACTAGCACTCAAAAAGATATCTGAACCAGCTTTGGACTAAGGGGGGAGGGTTGGGGTTTTTAATCTGTGAATGGCCCTTCCAAGGCATTTGGCTGACGGAGGCGAAGAACAAGATGTTTTCCACTGCCCCAAATTCCATGTACAGGACCTGGCCAGACTCGCAGTCAAATCTTACTTCAACCCCATCAATGAGACAGAAAGATAAATTTTGAAGGAGAAGACCAGGCCGTTTGGGACACACAGCTCTAGCCAAAGCTTTGCCCCTAATCCCTTTCTCTCTAGCAACTGCTGCTTCACTTTGCCCATGGACAGGGCCGGCCCTGTATCCACAGCTGAAGAGACAAACCATATTTACTTGCAATGCACCAAATTGAAAAATAGCAGCAGGCTGAGTATCAGCTCTAAGAACAGTAGCTGTTCTTTCCCTGCCAAATCTGCAGGCAATAGGTGGCACTTTGATCCCCCTTCTTAGTGCCAAGATATTAGGGTTAAAGGTAAAGGGTAAATTAGGTAAATTAGGTCCAGTCATGGCCAACTCTGGGGTTGCGGCGCTCATCTCGTTTTATTGGCCAAGGGAGCCGGCGTACAGCTTCCGGGTCATGTGGCCAGCATGACTAAGCCGCTTCTGGCGAACCAGAGCAGCGCACGGAAACGCCGTTTACCTTCCCGCCGGAGCAGTACCTATTTATCTACTTGCACTTTGACGTGCTTTCGTACTGCTAGGTTGGCAGGAGCAGGGACCGAACAACGGGAGCTCACCCTGTCGCGGGGATTCGAACCGCCAACCTTCTGATCGGCAAGTCCTAGGCTCTGTGGTTTAACCCACAGCACCACCCGCGTCCATATTAGGGTTAGGGATTATAAAAAAAGCCAGCATACAGTCCTGGTTTTTGACACACACTTCTAATTATTTCTTCTACTGCCAAAGGGGGGGGGAGAACGAGGGAAGGGGGTGATGCACCATCAGAACTATTTATAATGGAGGAAAGAGGGCAGAGGATTCGAGGTATTTCAGACATCTAGCTCCCACCGGAATCATCCACACTTCCCTTACATCAGGTCGTACGCAACTTTAAGGTAACATGTACAAGCAGGATTGGCAGCAGCCATTTGTCACAAGCAAGGGGTTGCTGCATCAGTTCCTATATTCTCCGTGCTGCTTCTTTTTCCCATCCGGCACAGCGCTGAGGGAGAAAGGGGCCTTTATGTTCTGCCTGTCCCTCTCAGCCTCTTCGTCCTCGTCGTACCTTTCGTCCTCCTCGTCCAGCTCTTCGTCGCTTTGGTGGGGGCTGTTGTGCTGAGAGACGGAGGGCGAGGGGGGCACCGATGGCGGGCGCGGGTACCGAAATCCTTCAGTCTGCAGGAGAAATGGAAGCGAGGGATAAATACGATGCAAGAAGGGCCCTTAATGTAAAAACATGCCCTTCCTCCCCCTGCCACCCAAAATATTTTCCATTAATTTAAAAATG